ACTGGAGAAAACACAAAAACATATGATACTTAAGTTTGTAAAAGGAGCATTGCATGCTCAGTGAAAGGTTTTAACTGCTTTTGGATTGAAGGACTTGAAAGGAAAAGAAACTGAGGGTGAGTTTTGTTCGTGTTTGGTTTAAATGAGGAGAGGGGACTTCCAAAAGCAGAAGGAAATGATAAGGAGTTAGTTATTATTAATTTATTAACACTTAGGATAGCAACTAAATTCCTGTGTTGCCTTCCCACTTATATGATAAAAGTTCTCTTCTTTCTTCTCTCTTAAATATCCTTTCCGACATGGACATGGCAGAGCATTGTTACTGTTCTTTCTTTCTTTTTCTTTTCTTTTTTTAATAATCAAGTTTATTCTTCATTTGAGTTGCCATTGACCATTTTCTGTTTTGTTTTTGTTTGTCTTTTTTGGTGTTGCGGTACAGTTGGAGTGTATTGCTTGTGGTAATACCTGGTATGCCTTCAATGACGAGGCATCTGCACTAACAATAGAGGAGCCAAGTTCTGTTAAGAATGTTGGCACTGCACCGTTGGCCACTGCCAAGTTTGAAGATATCAAGAAAAAGAAGTTGAATCCCGATGAATCTGAGGGGTCGGCAGACGATCTTTTCAAAAAAACCACAGAAGCTTACATGCCGGTGCTCAACACCTAGAAACCATGTAACATACCTACAACCAAAGATAATTATGTCCCAAATACTACAACAGACAGGTTTTGCGCGCTTTACTCTGCCGTTTTGGGTCACTGTTTAATTAGGTTTCTTTGTACATGAAAACTGCACATTTGCTTCCTTGTTTCCTAGTGAATATTTCGTGTGCGAAACTTTATAATCGTTAGGAGTATAAACATTCTGTATATAAGAAGTTTTATAGTTCTTGCTTCATGGAGTTTTAGTTCTTGCCTTCCAACTCCCAGTTTCTACCTTCTTTCTATCATGTGATGGTTTTGTGCATTCAGGTTTCAGCTGCTACTCAGATGTAATTGAGCAATCACTATTTTATGCAAGGTTCGAATGTGCGGTTACTGGTTAGTAGGTAAGGGTGTAAAAATCATCAGAAAATTTAGAGCTGTCTTTTTAATTTGAAATATTAGTTTTATATTATTAATTGAAAAAACAAAAAAATTATAAATGAGAATGATATCCATATTTTATTATTCTTCAATTGCACCCTATCTCAAAAAAAGGAAAAAGAAAAAGAGTGACATAGTTGCATTTCAAAACTACATTTGCACTCCATTAACTGTTTCATAAAGTAATCTTTACTCTACCTGTTTGCCAGTAGGCAGTATAGTATCCTTTTCTTGTTACAATGTTTTCGACTTTTACTTTACATTCACATCTTGACCTCACATTCATATTATGATTTATTATTATTTTTTTCGGAAGGTCATATTATGATTTATTGATTTTACTATATATATAATCCCTCTGTCCATAATAGTTATCTATCTTTCCTTTTTGGATTGTCCCAAAATACTTGTTTACTTACTAAATTTAAACAATATATTTTACATCTTTCCATAAAATATCTATAAAATTTTAAAAAATTTCAAACTTGATTATATATATATTTTAACTTGAAAGGGTAATTTTATAATTTTTAAAGGGGTTAATTTCACCTAGATCTCTTGAGGTTGGCGCATATTTCACCTAGATGGAGATTTGGTTTTTAGCGACCATTTAAACCCCAATTAGTTGCTTAACATTTCACTTACACCCCAAATATCAATTTTTAGTGTAAAATAACTATGTTACCCTTTGACCTCGTGTTGACTATTTTTTTGTGACTAAACTGCCCCCAACACATATTTCATCTTCTTCCTCCTCTCCGATAATCGTCCCAATTAACCCATACCATCTTCTGTTGGGGAAGTGAGGCGAGAGTGTAGATTGGCAAAGGGAGACCTCTCTGATATTTGTGAAGAGAGAGAGAGAGAATGATTCACATATATATAGAGAGAGGAGACATATAAATAGAACAGGGGAGTCGAATATAGGTCGGCGGTTGAGAGGGTTGGGAGATCGGTTCGGCCGTGGATGACTAGCGGCGGCTAAGATGACAACGACTGGGTGCTCGGGTGATGGCTGTGGATGAACTGCAGTTGTGCACATTTGAGTTTGATCGGCGAGGATGAGGGAGCTCGGCGATGGACGGGATAACTGGGATAACTGAATCGGTAGCCGGCGAATGGGATAGACTCTCGGCGGTCAGCTATGAGATCGAAGCGGCTAGGATGAGGGAGCTCGGCGATGGACGGGATGACTGAATCTCAAGCTCGCCGCTGCCATCATTCGAAGCCACAAGCTCGCTATCATCCAGACGGTTCCTGAGCTTGGGTTTTCTGCAACGCGAGAACTTCTCGACGGAGATAATCGAGAGCAGATCGCCGGAGGACCTCCAGCTGATAGTCAAGATCTGCATCGACAGTCACCAATCGTCGTCAATCGCGATAAAGAGGACCTCCAACAAGCCGTGACTGCTCTCCTTAAGAAGATGTCAATCGACGCTTGTGGCGCAATTCCAGCGACGGGGTGCTGAGCTTGTCTTTGCCATGGTTTGAGTCCGATTCTAGTTCGGATTCGTCTCCGGCGGGATTTGTTGGGTCTTGCGGGTCTCGATGGCAGCCATCGTTGCTGAGTTTGGGTTTGATTTGCAGGCTGTGGATTGTTGATTTTTTTCTTCTTCTTGTGGATTGTTAATTAGATGGTCCGATTTTGTGAATTGGGGCGTTGATTGTAATAATTATTTGTCCCTTTAAAAAAATTCACTCCCCTGGAGGGACACATGGACGTAGGGAATATATATATATATTTTTTTAATTACTATTTTTTTTTTGGGGAAGTTTAAGCAAAATAATGTCTCTAACGGGGGACGAAGTGATACGCCCATTTGTAAACTTTTTTGGGCGGGTGATATATTTAGGTTACCCTCGAATGTGATTGGAGGGTTTGTACAGGCACGTGTATAAGTTGCACCTTTGACCAGTCTTTTCTTTCAAATCTGTGATTCCATTGGCGGTGAGAAATTGAAAATAGATATTCATAAAGGGTGATAAAGTCATTTCCAGCAAGATTTAAATCACAGGTTCCGTCACGTGAGTTCAATGTGACCGACCGACCGCCTCAGATTTGCCTACTCCCGCCTAAACCAGTCGCATTCGCATTTACCTTTTTTTCTTTAATAAGTCCAATTACCATATTCTCCTTCACTATTAAATTCCCATCTACAAGCGTTACTATTCTAACCTTCAACATATTTGAACACTTTTTTTTTTTTTTTTTTTTTTTTTTTTTTTTTTCCCTAAATTGAACACACTCTTTTCTAGTATATTCTTTCAATTTTTTGTTTTTTGTTTTTGCTGCCAATAGACATGTATGTTAAATGATGTGTTTGGTGTTAAGAGGAGGAGAGTTGGATCAAGTAATCACGTTTTTTGGGCTTATATTTGACACTTTAGGTTGGTTAATCATATATTTACTAATGGTTTTAGTACTTTTAATCATTAATATGTTTGATTTGATTTGATGTTCACTGAAATTCAATCCCAAGAATGTTCCAACTTTCAAACATAAATGTGAAAAACCCCTAATGTTTTAAGCCCAACTGCCATGACAAATAGTGAAAAGACATCACTCCCTTCAAGAATGGTAGGCTGCAAATTTAATGTTGTGGTTTGTTCTTGAAATAAATGTAATTTATATCAGCATTCATGATAATTTATGTAGTACCAAAATTGTTAATTTTTTTTTTCAATTTTTTATTTTAGATAAGAAGTGTTAGAAATTAAATTAGTAAATGTAGAAAGTTAAGTTTGACACTCTAAAGTCCACTGAAAACACTAACTTATTGGCTATTGAGGCATCAACACCAAAATTGTTATCAGCACATCAAAATTTTTTATTTTTAACAATAAAGATGATCAACAGTGTTCAAATATCATTGTTTATATATTGTGAATTGAAAGGTATACCTTTTGTCGGAACCCCAAACCCACATCAATATTTTCTACTTTTATGCAATATGATTTTCTTAATTCATTAACTTTTCACTACTTTGTTATTGGCAACAAAATTGAAGTAAAGTTGAAAATTTGAGTTATTAAAATGAAAACTTTATGCAAATAACGTTAAAGTTTACTTGTATGCTATCCTTTCTTTAGTTCAATAACCTTCGAATTGATTGATTATATATATATATATAAAGAAAATGTTATAATAAAAATGATCATATCAAACTCCTATTCTCTCAATCATTAAATCAAGAGAGTTGAGAAAGCACAATTTAATGAAAATGTTATTTTGAAGAACTTTCATTGAATTTAGCTCTCTTTAAATTCTTGTTTTCTCAACCATTAAATATTTTAATGGGAATATTTTTTGGGAAGGAGCTTCTTTGGTTTATAAATCTTTATTCTTACATATTGATGGTGAAATTAGTTGGTTGCTTTGAATTGATTACTTGGTGTACTGGTATCATTCAAGAGGTTGGGTTAGTTGAGGGGGCCTCCATAGTTAATGGGTATTGTTGTCAATTCAAACTTATTTATATCTTCAAATAAGGAGGGATCTGTAATTTGCCACATTAGACATCCCATTTAAAATTATTTTATTTGGAAGACTCAATTTCAAAAAGAAAAATATTAATTGAAAGAATCCAATCTAATATAATATTAATTGTATTAATTGCAGCAAGTGAGAAAAGAAATACATATATACAATTCCCAATAACATAATGATATGGTAAGAAGTGACTGTGATTCTTTATTTGATAATTAGGACCTTTCCTCTCTGTTAATGCCAAACACACCCATGATAGAAGAAGCTCAGACACTTTATCTTAAAGGATATTCTTGTCATTTTGAAAGGTGACCATCCCAATGGAGTGCCAAAAACACTGGACTAAAGGTGTAGTAATGTACTAAAAAAAAATAGAAAAGTTGTGAATTGAAGAGAGCAAGCACACTGTGGCACACACAACATAGAGCATAGCAGCACATGATGAGCCAAGAAGGTGGCTTTTTTTAGCGGACATGAACTGAAGCTTGGCAGCTGTGTGTCTCTCAACCCTACTCTTCCTCTATGTGAGAGAGAGAAAGAGGTACCCATCATTGTCATTTGTCACCCACTTTCTCTCTCTAAGTAAGGCATGCTTTCTCTCTCTAAAACTCTCTTTTTGGGTCTATTATGCTTTACTGCTGCTGGTCTTCTTGTTCTTATCATGTTCTCTTTTTACCCCATCTGCTTTTTTTGATTCTTTGAGAATTCTAAGTAGTCTTTTGGTCACAACTGACTGTTTTTTAAGAAGGGTATTTGCTCTGTCTCACATAGAACATGTGTATGTGTGTGTGAAAATGGGCATTTTCAGCAGGGTCTTGAGCTGCAGAGATTGGAAGATACGATTACTTCAACTTAAAGTTTGTTGGGTTTTTCTTTGAATTTACTTCTCTCTGAGGTCTGGTGGGGTATGCCCATTTTCACAAGCATTTATGCTTATTTGACTTGGAATGCAAGTGTATATAAAGATGTTTTTAATCATTTAATTTCTTTATTTACTGTTCTCAACTTCCAAAAAAAAAAAAAAAAATTTCTTTATTGTTCTCTCTAACCCTTTTTTTGGTACCGGATCACTTATTGCTATTAGGGTTTCAGGGATCAAAATAGGCATTTTTTTAAGGTTCAGCTCAACCCTTGGAATTATTAGTAGGGTCCATGCATTTGCCATTCTCAATATATAATAAGATCTTTGAGTTGTTGCCTTGAGTGTAGAAGATTGAAGATTTTTGGCTTGAAGTTTATTAGTTTGATTGAAGCCGCTTTATTTGCGAATTCGAGACAATGGGTATGGATTTTTGTTAGTGCAGATTCAATTTTGCAACTGGAATTTTTAATTTCATTATGTTGTTCTAGTTAGGATCTGTTGCTTACATTCTTTGTGAATTGCTATTTTTCTACAACGAAAACTAGATCAATGTGTAAAGTTTAGGTGAATGATAACTTTTACTATTGACAGAAGTTTGTGCTGATTCAAGATTGTGAAGAACTTTCCCATTGGCATATAACATTAGGTGTTCTTAGCTCTCTTACTTCCATCTTAATATGCATTGCTTATAAGTGACGTAGTTGTAATTATACTGAAATGTGAGAAACTGTCTGCATCTAAATTTGCATCTCGGCTTTTAATTTATGTGAAACAACCTATGTGCTGGATTTTATTTTTTTTAATTGTAATTTTTAGGTTGATTTTGATGTCAGGTTCTATTTTAATGTTGTAGATCTCTAGCATTTTGCTTTGTATGTAGTGATCCATGTTTTCCTTTTTCTTTTTCCACTTTGTAGATTGCAGATCTATTAATGGGAATAGACATGGAGTTGGAATTCGACAAATACTGCAAAGTGGGTGGGAGCCCAAAAACAGTTCTTCCGTTTCCTCGGCAATTTTCAAAAGTTGAAAGGAGAAGCACAAAATCCACATGTAGAAAGGATCTATTGAACCTAAAGGAGGACTTCAAAGAGATTAATTTTCGTCGCTACCGCAGTTCATCATGTAAAACCATTCCATTTAGAACTTCTCAGCTGGAAGGAAATGAAGTGCTAAAGCGGGGTTCCGTATATCAGAGCTCAAAAGAAGTGAGGAAGATGAACAAGATTGCAGCTGTGGAAGGAAGGAGAAAAATTGAGTTCTCCCGGAGCAACGCCACCGGTTCCTCATTTGGTCTTCTTGACTCATTGTGTAGTTCAGACGAGGATAGCTTGCTTGTGGAACAGAAGCGATCTTCTGCAATGTCGCTGAACTCAGACTTGAATACAGCATCCGCCAGCAGGTCTGATGTAGAACAACGCTTTCAGGACCTTTTAGATCTCTCTTTGCATCATGGTAGAGATAGTGTCGTCTCATCAGATGGCTTGTTTGAGATCTCTCTGAATTTGAAGAACAGAGGAAATCACTCTGCTGAAAATGTAGAGAGACACACAATTGAGAATCCCAAGTTCAGATGTGATCCAGTTGTTGGTCCTCTAAATGATGGTAATGTTCTTCGGGAGAGAGAAAATGCTACTTTTCGGAAATCACTATCTGCTAAACTGGCACTGCCTCATTCCCCTTCTCCATCAGAAAGTGATTGCTCTAAAGCAAGCAGCCCAAAGGTTCGGTTCAGCCCTATCAGAAAGATGTTTGATCCATTCACAAAACCCAAGTCTCAACGAAGTCCTTTGGGTTCTGCAATTGAACATGGCGAGCTTGCAGCAGCCGGGCTGGCAAGCGTCAGGAGGAACAAGACATTTCGGAAATCTTTGTTGCATGATTTCTCAAATGTGTCTCAAAGTCCCGAAGTTGGTTCTCAGGTTCTGAAGAAGGATCCCAATAATTTAGTTGTGCCATGTTCACCAGCTCACCTGCATGGCCAACTCAAGTTGGAAAAGAAGCACGGGGTGCCATTTATCGAGTTCTCCTTGAAGTTCCCTGAAGATGTTTTTGTGGCCAAGACATGGAAAGCAGACAATGGTTTAAATTGGGTATATACCTTCCACTCTCTTCGTCACAGAAGGAAGAGTAATGCGAGTGGGTGGGGATTGAAAGATATCAACAAAGAATCCTCTATAGTGGGACAGATGCAGGTATCCTGTTATTTATGTACAGAGCTAAAAAATGCTGGAGCTTTTGACAGCTCCATGGTGACAGAGTTTGTGTTATATGATATTGCACATGCAAGAAAAAGTATGGCTGCTCAAGAAAACCTTAGCTGTTCCCCTGATGTTGCTAAACCTCCGAAGTGTTCAAATGAAAGGTCAATTGGGGGAACATGTGAGTTGGATGAAGCATCTGATCAATCAAAGCTTAAATTTCGATCAAAAGATGCTCCTGTCATTGACCATTTTGATTCAAATGCTCATCCTTGGTTGCCTGCAGATTTGCATCCAAACCTTGAAATTGCAGCCATCGTTACACAAGTCCCACTTGAGAAGAGAGAAAGCCTGAAATACATGAGAGGGGGTGCAAAGAGTGTTCGACCACGTTCAAACTCACTTGACCTCTCTGTGGTTGAGCAGAGAAAAAAAGGCAACCCTGATTGCTTAAGTCTCACAAATGTGAATGTGGTGATCCCTTCTGGAAGCCATAGTTTGCCGAGTACTGAAAGTCGTGGCCCTTCACCATTACTAGATCGATGGAGATTGGGCGGAGGTTGTGACTGTGGTGGCTGGGACATGGCATGCCCCCTTACTGTTTTTGGCAATTCCACTATTCCGAGTACTGACGATCATCCACTCACAGAAACTCACAGGCCTTTGGAACTTTTTGTTCAGGTAAGCTTCTCATCTGATGCAACATACCAGTTAGACAGTCACCTGAAAAAATTTCTGTCAAGCATTGTGGATAATGAATAGTTTAAACAAACAGAAGATAAAAACACCTGGTTAATGTATGGGGCTGTGACCCTTCTTTAAATCTCCCTGGTACAAGGTATACAAGGGGAAAAAAGAAAAGAGGGAGTCCCTTTCATGGTCTATTCAGATCCCTTGATAATGCCCATTACATGCCCTGCAAGATACATTTTATTACTGCTGATTACTGTCTTCAATATATATATATATATATATATAAGTAGTTCAACTTTGAGTTAAGTATGCCCTATTGGCTTTGCCAAACCCACCTTCGACCATCGTAGTGTTCTCACTTGAGTTACATTCTCGCATTACGAGGTTTAGAATGGAATTTTATTGGGTGAGCGGCAATGTATTCAATTCACGTTCTTCTAAATCTGTGGTATTTTAAGAGGGTTTAGGAAGTGATATGAAAAACAAAATCCCCTTCTCTTTCTGTTAATAGGGCATTTGAAATTAATCTATTTTGCTTATTAAATGAACTTATTTGTTCATCATATGCTTATCCATTCAAATTTTTGCTTTTTTCAGTTCTTGTCACATATTTATGTATTTCAGAAATAAAGTATATTGCACCAAATAACCCTTTTGAAAGAAAAAGCTACATAATCCCTCATGTGCATTTCTGCAACTGGTCATTGCAGTAACTGTAGAATAAATCATACTACTAGATCACTAAATATTACCTCTTCTTCCCCCACCCTTTTGGTTAGCTAGACTTAGTGGTAGATGTTTAATTGTAATAATAATAATAATTATTTTAGTAGTATTGGTTGAAATTCAATCCGAATGCAACCTGCTTTGTCTAAGGCTCCAAGTGGTGCTAATGCTTTGTTCACAAACATGGTCACTGTCTCACTAATTGTTACTTGATTCTACTTGTATGCAGGGACCAAAAGACAAAACTCCAGCATTGAACATAAGAGTTATTGAAGAGGGATTGTACTCAGTTGACTTCCATGCACAGTTATCCACATTACAAGCATTCTCTATTTGTGTTGCCATCTTGCATAGTACGGAAGCCTCCATTGCTGTTGGTCAGGAGAGAGACGAAGAACTGTTGCAATGCAATTCTCTGGGACTGTTTATCGGAAAGGAAGTGAAATATCTAATTGAAACAGTCAGAGAGGAGGAAAAGAGGAAAGCCAATCCAAAGACGCAAGAAATTAAACCATCTTTTGTACTCAATCCACCCTTTTCTCCAATTGCTAGAGTATAGACTTCATGACTTCGCTTGGTAAGGCAGAGATGAGTTCTCAGAGAACCCCAGTTCGGGTGTATAGAGAAAGGTTGTTAGTTCCTGACATCTGTATTGCTACAGATGTGGGGTAAACCAAAACGTTTCGAACATTTTGTGGATAGAGATAGACCCAAGTCTCCAGCTTGCTTGGCGAAGCTGAAACGGCTTTCCAATGAATTCCAGATTCAGATTACAGAGGCTACCGGTTCTGACTCTTTGCGTGGAAGATTACTACAGTGGAGGTGCCAAAATCCTTTTGTAGAACTATTCAATTCGTTCTTACTTCTTCTAGTTACATAGTCAAATTTGAACAAAACACAATACTGTCCATATTATCAGTCGATGGTGAAAAAGGAGTAACCATTCAATTGTGTAGATTATTTAAAATTAATGATGGGTAAGGTGTTATGGGGAAGTAGATACTAGAAATGCTTTCAGAAAGCTTCCATTTTCAATATTGCTGATGCCAAGCAGATTGCATCTCTGTTTTTGGCAGTTTCTGTATCTAGAATAAATAGAAAATGACATGCATGCTCTTACCTTTTTCTTATATGAAATCTATGAATTTCAAATGTTTTGCTCTAATCCCATAGTATGTATTATTTCAAGAATAGTAAACTTTTGGAATTCAAAGAGCAGATATAAACTCCTCTTCTGTTTTCATATCCTTCATAACTGCATTTTACAAGAAATTTTGCTTACATAAAATATCCTTACTTTTTCAAGAAGCTGACCTGTCCACTTCAAGTGAACTATATCCTACAACTCTTTGAACTCCTCTCTCACTTATCAGGCTTCTAATCTTGTGCACATCATCCCATCCTCCCTTGTTGGCGTAAGTATTTAATAGTAGCTTATAGTAACCTGCTGTTTTTGGATCCAATTTAACCACACTTTCCACTGCTGATTTCCCTATGTCAAACTTCCCATGTATCTTGCAAGCACCAAAGAAAGCACCCCAAATGCTGATGTCCGGTTCCATTGGCATTTGCCTGATGAACTGAAATGCTTCATCAATGAAGCCTGCCCTCCCAATAAGATCAACCATAGTCACAAAGTGCTCCATCTTTGGTTCAATTCCAAACTGTCCAACCATATAATCAAACACTTTGTTGCCTTCACTAACCATTCCGGTGTGACTACAAGAAGAAAGTACAAGAAGGAAACACACACCATCAGGATCTATGCCTCTCTTCAACATCCTGAAGAAACTCATCAAACCAGCTTCTCCATATCCGTGCATTCCCAAGCCATGAATTATGGCACTCCATGCGTTTACACTTTCTTCGGTAACTGTAAGAAGTACCTGACAAGCTAAATCTAGTCTTCCACACTTCGAATACATGTTTATCAGAAGTGCTTCAACAGAGACATCTGAACTGAACCCATTCTTCATAACATAACCATGGATAGTTCCTCCTATTCGCAAGCTTGGTAAATCAGCACAAGCTTGGAGGGCAATCGATATGGTAACAGCAGTTGGTTCTACACCCTCTGTATGCATCCTGCAGACGAAATTGAGCACCATATCTAACTGACCTTTTCTGCAATACCCATTAATCATCACATTCCAAGTTACTGCATCTTTATGATGAATCTCATGAAAAAGTTTCTGTGCAGAGTCTATCATCCCACATTTTGCATACATATCCATGATAGCAGTTGATATAGTTGTGTCTGAAGAAGAACCCAATACAATAACATGAGCATGAACTGATTCTCCAATATGAATTGCTCCTAACAAACCACATACAGGAAGAACAATTTTCAGTGTCACTTTATCTAATCCAATCCTTTCAAATCTCATCAAACTACAGAGCTCCAATGCACTTTCTGGAAGACCATTCAATGCAAATCCTGAAACCATACAATTCCAAGAGACCAAATTCCTTTTAGGCATTTCATCAAAAACATAATGGGCAGATTTCAAAGTTCCAACTTTGGAGTACATGTCTATCAATGAATTCGCGACAACAACATTGTGATCAAACCCGGATTTTATTGTCCGGGTATGGACTAATTTGCCTTCATTGAAAGCAGTGAGAGCAGCACAGGCCTTAAGCACATATGGGTATGTCAAATGATCAGGTTTTGCATTGGAAAGCTGAAGAATGAAGTAAAGATCAAGTATTTGATCATGAAGTCCAACGTTGGACAGTTGTTTAAGCTTTTCATTTAGTAAATGAAGATGGGTTTCAAGGAAAAAATGAGAATAGCGAGGATTGACACAAAAGGTCGATGAGGAAGATATTTGTGGTGATTGGTACCGGAAATAATGAGCACTACTCTTAGACTTCAATGTTAATCCAAGAGAAGAAGAAAGAAGAGGCTTCAACTTACAAACCAGCTTTAGCATGGAAGTGGGATAGAAACAAAAGCCGGAAGTAATTGTGTATTTTAATATGGTTAAGATAATTAAATTTTGTATTTAAATACTAAAAGAAAAAAATAAATTTGAAATCACAAATATATGAAAAAGTCATATTACTTACATATTTCATATCAGATGTTACCTTTTGTATTAAATACCATTGGGTTATAAAGACAAAAAGAAAAAGAAAACAATTGATATCTCAAATCTATGAAAAAATTATATCACTTGTATATTTCATATCAAAGTTACTCTTTTTTTTTTACCACATGCCACTGGGTTCTGATATTTTATCTAATGGATATGTAAAATAAATTCCACTTTTGAAATCTTTTTCATTTAAGTTCTAGATCATTGAACTTTCCCCGTATACCCTTAACAAATTAGATTTTAAATTCTACAATTATAATTTATATTCAAAAATTGATATGCAAAATTTGATATGTAAGTCAATTTTTTCTATTTGAATATTTAAACAATTCTAAAAAAATTCTACTGGGAAACCTCAACGGCTCCCCATTGATTAGATGGAGCATGTGGTCTGGAATTACGTTCAATTACACTTACTATTAAAATAATAATAATAATAATAATTACATACATAACCTTATGTGATTGATCGAGATTATGTAATCTCGGATCATGTAAAATTTTATTCTCATTTACTTTAACAATTTAATTTCTTATTCGGTTGAAATTTTCACTATGCATATCAGTGCTCTTATCGTTATCCTTCTTTTCAATATAAATGCTTGATGAGTTTTGATAGGTCGATGTGTTAATTTTTTTCACTATGATTTGTTTGGACATTACAGTTGATTCCAACTGCTACTGGTTGCCTTGGTACTAATATTGTGATCACTCGTTTCTGAACTTATATATCTAAAAAAAATAATAAAAAATAAAAATTGATATGTCAAACTATGAAAATGTTATTAGTTATATCACCTAGTGAGTTCTAAACTTATATCTAAACAAAAAGGGCAAAAAAAAAAAAAAATTCATATCTCAGATTTATGAAAAAGTTCACTGGTATATTTCGTATCAGAAGTTACTTTTTGTAGTAAATACAAATACAACTATACATTTAATTGATGGGTTGGGCTGGATTGTTCAAGGACCTTACCGGCCTGTTTTCAACCACAGAGCTAGCTGGCACCACTATTTCCTAAAAAAAACTTTACCACAATTATTTATTATTTATTTTATTTTTACACAAAAGAAAATAAATTCTCTAACTAATAAAGTCCTCCGTTTGAAATCTTTTTTCATTTATTTTTTAAAACACTGAACTTTCCATTTATAGTCTTAACATATTAGATTTAAATTTTGTAATTATAATTTCTATTCAAAAATTGATATGTAAGCTAAAATTTTCTATCTGACTTTTTTAACATGTCTAAAATTTATGTATCAATAAATTTTTCTGATTTATCCATGGCAAAAAAAAAAAAAAATTTCAAGGCAAGAATGTTAGTGGTTAGAAACGAGAGAAAGGGTCTCGAACACAGGCTTCCAGATCTAATGAGCAACAACCCAACCACTTGGGCGGGAAAAAAAACATGTATTGGCAATTGGATTTTTCTTTTTATCAAAATTTTTTTTTTGCTTTTTATCTTTCAAAAGGACAAAATGTTATTCAAGTTGTTTGAATAAAAAGGAATTATAATATTTTATGAATTATTTTAATAGAATTTGAAATTTTCTCTATTAAAAATGATTGTCAAAAAATCTACAAAATACTTTTTGAATTGACCTTTACTTAAATTAATTATAATTATAATTTTTAATATAATATTTTTTTCCCCTGAATTACTGTCTATTACTAGTAATTAACTAATAAACATAAACAAAAGAGCATTCTATATCAATGTTACAATTGAAACTATAATGGCAAAACTTTACTTCTATTTGGTAAGAGTACGTACAAATGAAAAATTGAGTAGTTTAAAATTTAGTATTGGTCCTAAGAAAAAATTAGAGGACTTATTTGTCTTTTAAAAGAAAAGTAAACTTTGCGGTAATTTTTCTTATTTTCTAGCTATTACTACATGCATAGAAAAATTCTCCTCAACTCAGGTAAAACTAGACATTAATATACATAATTGGAAAGAAATAAAAACTTAAACATCAAACTGAATTAGGAAACCCAACCTAGAGGATTTCAGTGCTGGAGTGCAAGACTAATTTAGCAAACAAGCAGGAAAATACATATTCTTCAGGTTGATTAGTGTTGGATCGTAGAACTGATTTAGGAATCCTAAAGAAAGTATGATCTTTGCGCTAGAGGGCGTGTATATATATATATATAACCATATGCACGTCTATGTATTCTGCGTTCCTCTGATCATTCCAAGAAGGCAGTTCTAATTAATCTCTCACATACCATCCCCTATTATCTTTCATCACCCAAACCCTAGTAATATTTTTCAAGTCACTTTGTTATTCTTGTTTCTGGTTCAAACAATTAATGGCAGAACAGTTTTTTGTTGCTCGTGGTCTTTTCTTTTCGTCCAGAAACATACCATCCTCATCACTGGCGGCAGACTTGGAAGATGAAGAAAATAGGGCAACACAGTTCTCTGTTGAACGTAGTTTTTTCTCTCGGGCCAATAGCACAGCATCAACAGAGTTCTTTAATTTTGATAATCTTTTCTCTCCTGTAAAAAAGACAGAATCATCAGTAGTTGCAGAGTCGAAAAATGAAGAAAATAATGGGGTTTCATTGGAACTATCGTTGCGGCTTCATGTTGATCCTAAGATGAAAGCACTGGAATCCAGTACTAGTAGTTTCATGATCCCACAACCAAGAACCATACAAGCTAGCGTAGCAAGAAAACCTGAAAAGGTTTCAACCAAATTGAAACCAGCTTCTATTGTTACTTTCAAGAAAAGGAAGATGATGGGTGATAAACCTCCAAGTTGCTCTTTGGCTACTAAAGCCAAAGAACAGAAGATTTTTTGTACCCGTGAAGAAGAAGAAGAGACGACAAGATTGAGGTTGTATAATGACAGGTGGAAAATCAAGAAGATATTGACAAAAAGTGACGTGAATGGTTTATGTAGGCTCCTGATACCAAAAGAATTAATGAACAAACAGGTAATCCCTCTGTTCAACCCTCAACAAGTTAGTGATTGTGGGAGTGGGATAGGCATAAGAGTTAAGGTTTTCGATTTTGACACAAGGACAGAGCATGAGTTGACTCTCAAGACATGGAAGACAGATAGCTATTTGCTAACCAGTAACTGGAACAAAGAGTTCACCAACAGGAGGAACTTGGAGATGGGTGATGAGATTGGCCTTTTCTGGAATTCACAAACTTCACAACTTTATTTTTGCCTTCTCAAAAAGGCTAATAGCTAGCCATATCTGAATGTTTAAATGAAACGTGACTTAGGTTGTAAGTTTGGAAACATTTAGTTATTTGAATGGTTTTTATGTGGTCAATTTTATTTGCTATTAAATGTGTAATGTGGTTTGAATGATTTTATTATATATATGTTTTATGAATATGATTGATAGCATATCAGTTTTGAAAAGTTTTTAGTGATTTTTTTTTTTTTTTTTTTGGGTATGTTAAAGCATGGTTATTAATTATTATAGAAAATTCCTAATTATATAAAAAATAATTGAATCTGGATATCTAATACAAAAGACAACTGATTATTAAAGCTAAAAAGGGAAGACTAACGAGTAGATTCCAGTTACTTGTCATACTTGAGAACACAGGGCCCCTAGTCTATGGGGAAAGTTTTAACCTAGCTAATTGATGTGCCTATAAGCTAGTCGCCCAGTTTCACATTCAATTGAAACTTTAGCTATGTATAAAAAAGTATTAGTGTTTTCATCTCTTTTCAATATGAGTTCTTGGTATGTTTGGGTAGATTGATGTATTTAAATTTCGAAAAATACTACAGCAGCAAGCTTTTCTCTCTTTTCTATTTTTTCTTTTTTAATAAAACACTAATATATCCTATAAATTTTTTATAGGACCAATAGGTATTACTTTTGAAATCTTCTCCATTTAAATTCTAAATCACTTAACTTTTCACTTATGCCCTTAATAAATTAGATTTATAATTTAGCAATTATAATTTCTTTTCTATTTGACTATTTAAACATGTCTAAAATTTTTCTATTGCCAATTGGATTTTTTTGTTTCATTTTATCGAAATTAGTCTATTTTTCAAAAAGATAAAATTTTATTCAAATTATTTCAATAAAAAGAAGTTATAATACATTATGAAATTGAACCCAAGGGGTTGACTCAAGTGAATAAAAACTTGGTCATGGTGTCTTATAAAGCATTGAGTTTACGCTTCCAATTCTCTTGGATGAAAATAATTTTTTGAGGGGGGTGTGTGAATACCAATTAGGAAAAAAAAATTCAATAAAAAATATTAGAGTAAAGTACAACAACACCCCATGAGGTTTGTTAAAAGGACACTCAGACGAAAGTTTGTCCATTTTGGGACAATGACACCCCCTCAAGTTTGATACAGATACCAAAAACACCCCAATGGTAATAAATTGACATTTTTACCCTTTGACTTTTATATTGACCAATTTGAATATTGAAATGACCTTTCTACCCTCGTACCAAAAACCATTTCTTTCCCGTCTCTGTTCTCTCTCTTCCTCCGCCCCGAACACCAAAACACACACACTGTCACACATACACACACACACACACACATACTGTCACACACACACATATATATACACACCCACACCCACACACACACATATATGTGTGTGTATATACAGTATCATATATATATACACACACAAGGCGGCGACAGGCAGCTGCGGCAACGATGGTGGCGCACCGCCTTTCCTCCACCGTCGGCGTCATCGTCATCCTCCGGCTCTACAACGAGTGGCGCCAACTTTAGATCCGCAGCCTGCCTTTGTTGGGTTCATCAAAAACCAACTTTTTCTTCAATGTGATTCAAAATTTTCCCATTTTTAGCATAACCCAATTCCCTAAATCCAAGTTTGGCAGTGAATCAGAGATGGGTTGTGCTCAATTTTATCCAAAATTTCCTATTTTTAGCGAAAACCCAGTAACCTATTAATAGGGTTTCTTCTCACTCCTCAAATTTAGAGAGAGAAAATCTAGAGAGAGTGGATGATGAAAATGAGGATGAAGGAGGAGAGGTTTGTGAGCATTTTCATGGCAGTGAGGACCCACTGATGCCATCACCACAGTTTGATTTTGGGTGGGATTTTTTTAATCCGTTTGATGGGGGTGAAAACAGAGGTGGTCAATAGGTTTAGTCAAAGCTCTGATGATGATCTGAGGGCTGTGATGGAGGCTGAGGGGATACCAGAGTTGGAGGAGGAGGAGGATGAAGAAAGAGAAAATTCTGGAGTGAGAAAATTCTGGAGAGAGGATGATGGTGATTTTGGTGTGGTGGTGGCGCCAGATCAGGTTGTGTAGGATTGATTGGGACTGGGGGTAATTTTGTCATTTGATATTTTATAATTAAAATTAATAAAATAGTGAAGGGTAAAATGTACTTTTCATATGTTTTAAGGCTATGTTTGGATGACAAATATCACAAGGGGGTGTGGTTGTCCCAAAATAAGCAAACTTTCATCTAGGTGTCCTTTTAGCAAACCTCAGGGGGTGTCTCTGTACTTTACCCATTTTTAATTCTACTATATTAAAAATGATGATCATTAAATCTAAAATAGTTTTTGGAATTGATCAACTTTAAATAAAATAATTATAATTTAAATATATAATATAATATTTATTAATTAAATAAAGCATAAGAAAACATAGAAACAAAAAATAAAAAACTAATGGGCTCTGGTCTAAATTGTTTAGGTTTTCGTGACCTTTTAGGGATGTTGAGTGTTATGATGGGGGTAAAAATATATAGTGAGTTTGTATTTGTTTGAACTTCCAAAAAAAATAATAAATAAATAAAAAGTATTCTATATAGTTTTAGAGTAGAAACTGTAATGGCAAAATTAAATGGTTTTTAAAACTTAAAATGCAAAGGATTTCAAAAGTAGAATTATCGATCCTATAAGAAAAAATATAGGACTTATTTGTCTTTTACAAAAATATAATCCCTCTGTTCAACGCTAAACAAGCAACAGAATGTGGGACTGTAGATGGCGCAAAGCTTAAGGTTTTTGACTTCACATAAGGATTGAACATGAGTTGACACTCAGGAGATGGAAAGCGGACAACTGTTTGCTTACCAGTAGTTGGATCAAAGAGTAATGCACCATTATAGGATGGGGGAATTTTAGGAATGGATTAGCCAAAAGAAGTTAAGTCCTACCTATTTGTATGTTCTAAAGACGGATTAACCAAAAGAAGTTAAGTCCTACCAGTTTCATGTCAGGCTACTGAATTGGTTAGATGACATGCTGGATATTTATTTTACACTTTTGATAGGATGGATTTTATATATGTATAGATATGTGCCATGATATGAGCTTGAGTCTCATGATTGATGGTTAAGAAACGTATATTGCATTGGGGATGTATAATTAAACTGGACATAGTGGAATGTTATGTGCCCTAGTAGGTCTAGGTATTCATTCCAACTATATGTGCGTTTTGCATGTTGTCTACTATTCAAGTTGAGGTCGCCCTATGTCCAGTGGGAGCCCTTTTAGTGTGTATATATATATATATATATATATATATATATATATATGGATTATGTATCTATTGTTGAGTTAACTAGAATGCATATGTATATCGGGTTTCTATTTGGAATGTAGTAGAATAAACCTTGTTTGTAGGCATGACCCACCACTACAACAGATCTGACTTTTACCAGCGCTGGTAAAAGTCTTCAAAAGCGCTGGTAAAGCCTGCATCGGTAAAGCTTTACCAGCGCTTGTGAAGAAGCGCTGGCATAGGGTATTACCAGCGCTTTTTAAGAAAACGCTGGTACAAGGGTCATTTTAATTTTATTTTAATTATTTTTTTTCCCCCTATGCCAGCGCTTCTTCAGAAAGCGCTGGTACTGGGGTCATTTTAATTTTTTTTTAATTATTCTATTTTCCTCTATGCTAGCGTTTTTTCAAGAAGCGCTGGCACTGGGGTCATTTTAAATTTTTTTTTTAATTATTTTTTTCCCCTTATGCCAGCGCTTTTTCAAGAAGCGCTGGTACTTGGGTCATTTTAATTTTTTTTTTTTATTATTTTATTTTCCCCTATGCCAGCGCTTTTTCAAGAAGCGCTGGTACTGGGGTCATTTTAATTTTTTTTTAATTATTTTTCTTTTCCCTGTGCCAGCGTTTTTTTAGGAAGCGCTGGTACAGGGGTCATTTTATTTTTTGTTTTATTATTTTATTTTCCCCTATCCCAGCGCTCTTTCAAAAAGCGATGGTACTGGGTCATTTTATTTTATTTTTTATTTTTTTCCCCCCTATGCCAGGGCTTTTTGAACAAGCGCTGGTAGAGCGGTCATTTTAATTTTTTTTTTTTTTTTTTTTTTTTAAATTTTTGTAGCTACTAAATGTCATCCAATATAACACAAATCAATATAAAAATACCATCCAAATTGTTTTTACATAATACAACCACAAGTTAACCTGCTGCCAATATGAAAAATACCATCGAAATTGGCTACTAATTGATAAAGTTGGTAAATGTCAACCAAAAAGTCAAAATGTATACTAATACAACCACAAGTTAACCTGCCAATATGAAAATACCATCCAAATTGTCTAGATAAAGCTACTAAAATGTCACACAAAAAGAATTAAGAATTTTTGACAAATGTAGTACAAGTTTTTCAAAAAGGACCCATCCAAGGGGAAGGAAATTCAAAAAGCACAGCCACGACCCCATCTTTAGCTTCAACTTCAACAAGTCTTCTTGCCCATTTGATTTGAATTACCCTACATTTTTTATAAATTCATTAAGCGCACATTATAATAAATGAAAATTTAACATATAAGAGAAATTAAAAGTTCATAACCTTAATTGAATTGGCATCATGACTAGAAAATGGACTCAACATCTATATCTTCTGTGCATCATAAACATCTATACCTGTGCATCTTCCTCAATAGCAGATTCATTATGGTAGAGAAACATTTCCTTTGATATGTTTTCAGTACTAGTTCATATAAGGAACCTAAAGAGTATTAAAGAATGTCAGCAACATTTAAAGTAGCAGAGGGAGCAATTGGAGACATTTTGAACCAACTAGTAGATCATTTATCCTGTGTGGGAAACTAAGCACTAGAAAAGGTAACAAAAATCAAACTAGACTTACGAAAGAGTTTCAAAACATGGGCATAATGGAATGAAACAACATAATGATACAAGGATAATGAGGAAATGCAAGCATAAAGTACAACATAATGTGCTGACTATGGTCCAAGTTACTATAAACAATGATGTTCTACCACCCTGTACTTAAATATGAAGGGGTCATATGAATGAAAGTTACTAAGATTCCAAGTCTCTGTACATTTTAATTTGAATGTGTTCCTGTATATGATTTCTACCATTCGATGACTCTAAGGCCTGAAGACATCTAATACTGAGCTCTTGTTCCATATAGCAAGGTTACATTAGTTTTTGCTAGAGAATTTTTTTTTTAATTATAAATTTCTAAATTCACATTGAACATGATATAGTTGTGTGTCACACAAAATTGTACTATATGTTTTCTCACAACTGAGAAAACAAAGCTTGTAAAGTGATACAAGTATTCTCTGGGCAAGTCACCTCTCAAATCTGTTAAATCTTTAGTTCTGGTCAGTTTTACTAAGTCCGTTTTTCAACTTGTTTTGTTTTTTCAATCCACTGCTCTACATTCAAAAGACCATTGCACTGGTATGAGTAAGAAATTAATAAAAACAACAAACAACAAATAGAAAATACTTCTCCTCCACAACACAAATCAATCAACAAGAAGCCTCCACATACAATGATCCCTTACTCTAATGCTTTTCAACAAATACAAGAAAGTAAATTGCCTCCACATGGGCCGATCAGAAACAATGAAATTAAAATGTCTCCACACGGGCCGATGATTTAAAAATTGGTCACTTCAAGGCATGTGACCCCCTAATACACTGCAAAGAGTTTAAAAATTGGTCACTTCAGGGCACGTGACCCCCTTTTTGCAACATGGAATCATGAAAACTTACAATCATCTCCGAAGCAGCAACATCAGTAGCATTACCATCCTTATTTATATGTGTGCGAATGAATAAATCTGCGGAGGTGGTTGGGATGATTTTGAAGTTGAAGCTTTGGTATTTTGTTCACTCATTTTTTCGACTTCACTAACCGTTCGTTTCATTGTCAGCTTATTATTTATCTTTCCTGGAAAAGCAAACAAAAAGGTAATCTATTAATAATCTATTAAGTTCATATATTTTGGCTTGGAGAGGGAAAAAAGGTAATGAAATTAAGCTAGCTGGGAATCAAAACAAAAATGAAATAGGCAAATTATTGATGATGTCATTTGTGGAAAATGAAATAAAATTTGTAGCTGTTGAAATAGTTTACTCAGTTAACTGCCAAAAAAAAAGTTCAATATGATTTATATTACATGAACAGAAGGTGAGCAAATTAAATATCAATAGCTCCTATCTGTACAACATTAAGGAATAAGGATAATAAGATAGAGCCAAATCAAAAATTTAATGGAATATGTGTTTTAACTAAGAGTCATAACACTGGAGAAATAGAAAAACACATAAAAGACAGAATTAATGCATGTTGTCTCAATCAACAATCCTAACATGAAATAATTTTCTTGTGTACAAGAATAGTCACTACACTATCTTAATTACTATTTGGAATGCAAGGAAGGAAGACTTACAAAAATATAGACAACAAACTTCCCAAGAGTAGAAAGTAGCCCCCACAAGCACCATAAGTTCACACTTCAAAATCCAACTCAAAGCCCCATTCTAGTTTGAAAACAAAAACATCAGAGAAACAAAAATTAAAAGGGGATCTAACTTGAAGTCCGAATGACTAAGTCGGTCAACTTCTCTTGCAGCTCAGATGGATCGATGCTCCTCCCATCATTCACCTGAGCACAAAATTAGGAATAACATAGTGTTGTTGCAAGAAAACGTGCAATTAGAGAAAAAAAAAAAAAAGGGTGCAGCAAATAAATCAAAGGTGTAAAATTAGTCGCATTCAATTTAATGGTCTATCATTCTTTCAAACAAATTATAGCAAAATACAATACTAGTGTACCACATAAGCCACGAGACACTTGAAACCTCTAAACACTATAAGAAAAATGCAGATCTCTTTGATCACTAATGGACTTGATCTGGTGTTCAAACCCTCCTAAGTAACCAATGACCTCAATTTGAAACCTTCACCTCCGAAGAAATTGTAACATGAAAGGGGGAAAAAATAAAATTACAACCAAAAAAATCTGAAACTTGATAAGAAAATGCTTTTACATATAACAGCAACTGGCAACGGAAGAATCAAAATTTCATTATAAATGTCTCAGGCATATCAGCACAAGAAACAAAACATTTTATCACAATGCATAAGAAACATAACATTTTAATTTTCCACATGCACAATCAACTCTCAGTTGGCCATTAATTCTTCATCAAACTGCTAATTTACAAAAGCGTGGCTTTCTTCAACAGAATGTCGAATTTGGTTAGATTTGAGATGGCTATAGTTTTCTTCTAACAAAGAGAAAAATAAAGTGACTTTAATTTCTTCCTGAAAATTAAATGAACTACTCATTTTGTAGGTAATATAAGAACCACTCCCAAGCACAAAAAATAAGAAAATTTATGTTAAAAGAACTTGATAACTTCTGATTTATAAATTATAACACCACAGTAGAGCATGGTTCTGAATAAAAACCCTTAATACATTGAAGGAATAAACATGATAAATTAACACAAAATGTTAAAAAGGATAATATTATATACACAATTATTGACTCAACTTTGAGAGGGTTTTGCAGAAATCCAAAGTTTTACAGATTCAAAATCAGAACAATTTTTTCCCAAATTTCCTGTGCATATCAAAACAATATATGTACATACACATATATATGATCCAAAGTTTTACTTCCTTTACAAATTCAGAATACAAAATTTGAAGCACATAAATAGTTTGAGGAACTCAAAATTCTCACCCCCACTGGTCTTTGATTGTGTTGCTGCAATAGGAAGAACCTTTTCCCTCATATTGGAAGGAAGTGGAGGCATTTTCAAATTTGTCTGCGTCGGCAACATCCGACACCACGGAGCACTCACTCTACAAACAGAACACACATACATCACAATTTAACTTGGGCAATTTTCTGTAACTTCCTTTACATCTCTCATCAATCAAAGGGGGGAGCGGCCTTAATCAAATTATAAGAAAATTACAGAAAAAAATAAAATGTTAATCCAAACCTTCCAACAACCATAGCTAGGGTTTTGATGTAACTATCGATGATCTGGTCCCTGGAAGTGTCGTCCTCCTCATGTTTTTCCATCACAACAAGCCAGTGATTAATTGATTTAGAAAAAAAAACAAAAAAATAAAAATAAAAAAAAAACAAAACCCAAACATACAAGTTAGCAGTTGTAGAGAAAGAGAGGGGCAAGCTTGAGAGTTGAGAGACAGCGGCTGAAGCTTGCGAACTGCGAACCTGAACTGGAACAGCGGGCGATGGAAACTAAAAGATATGGGTTTTGATTTTTTGAACAATCTGGCATATCAGATATGGGTTTTGATTATATAATAGGTTTTTAAAAAAGCGCTGGTACGATTGCACCTATACCAGCGCTCTTTTAAAGAGCGCTGGTAAAACCCTAATATGGTGTAGTGACCTTTCTTGCCCTTTTGAAAATATAACAATTCTGGCATGAGCTTATTCTGTTTAGAACTTATGGACTGAAAAGAATTTCAAAAAATGTAGCAATCTGTATAACACAGAAATGATAGTGTTCAAGCGCATAAATTTTTAGCACCAGTGTGTGAGCCTTCAGGCTTTATGTATCTACCTTTTTATGTCAGTTTATAGTACGCTGTCTAAATATACGTAAAATCCCTCTTTTGAGCTAATTATAAGATCTACGTGCTTTGAATAATGTAAAATTACAACTGAAAAAGAAAAAAAACACACACACACACACACATACACTATATTAGAAATTTAGAACATCCAAGAAATTAGATATCTGACCAAGTGCTCCATCCAAGTGCAGTCACTCCCAAGGTGCCTATAACTTGCCAGTCTCTACTTTCACTATCTCACAGTGCCTAGAATTTGCATAAGAAATAACAAAGGTTAACCTTACTCAAAAGAGGGCCTACAAATTTGAGATAGTTTCTACCGAAAATCATATAATCTAGTAACATTCTAAAGAAATCAGTGCTCTGTATGAACAATTTAGAATATTAGATTGCTCTGCACTTGAAAATTCAGAAGAAAAAAAAAAAAAAAACATGAATTTTTTCTAACTTAAGGTGCTAGGTTAAGTTCAACAAAAGAAGAGGAATTTTTTTTTTTTTTTTTTTTTTTTTTCATTATTTGAATAACCATTCATGTAAATAAAAGAGCCTATATATGTAATTAATATAGACTCCACTTATATAAATACCAGAAGGAAGGTTGTTTACAAAAAAAAAATGAAAAATGTCTCTGTTCTTAAATTGTAAATAACCAACTCAAGGTATTCTTCTACTTACTACATCAACAAACCACGACCAATCACAGTTTCACAATTACAGTTCCATAGCCACAATTCACAGCCTCATTGGAAATTTGAAATACAGACTATATATGCATATCAAAACAGAGTTTTCAAATTTTCAACACACACGACACATATGCGTCATCAAGGTTATAGCCTCCACAAAAATTTGAAACTCAAAACATAGAAATATATATCAAAACATAGAGCATGCTTCACAAAAATTTATTATGACAACATAGATAAATTTGGAACTTCAAATCTCCAAAGTTAGGGACACAGCCCTTGACAAAATTTTCAGAAAAAATTTTCAAACACAGCCCATCATCACTAACCATCCTCCTTTTTCAACATCACAGAATATATATCAAAGTACTCTTAAAATCGCAATCCTAATGATCAAATACAAGTTCGCAGTGATTTCTCAATTTTTCCACAGTCTTCATTATCACAGTTTTATGCTTCATAATATTTGTAACATGACAAAACATATAAAATCTCACATAACTAAAATTCCGAATTCCCATTTCAAAATAAAATTCCAAAAATCTCCAAAACAGTTTAATTAACCCTTCCTTCAGAAATTTTCAAACATGAACTCATATATATATTTATATGAATGACAGGGGAAAGATGCTTACCCGAAAGATAGAGAGAAGAGCAAAGGAATGAAGAGAAAAATCCGAGAGAGAGACCAACCCGAGAACGATGAGATGACGCCTGAGATTCGCCGAAGAAGATGAGCGAAAATTGCAGCGGTGGATGGCGGCGAGATGAGAATGTTATCTCCTTGGCCGAGGGTCGGCCGGAGACGAAGCCGATGGAGAAGAGATGAGATCGAGAGTGAGAGGCCGAGGTTTGGCCAGAGATCTCGCCGAAAAACCCATAGCAGAGAGCTCGAACAAAGAGAGAGGGGTTGGCTTCAGTGGTGGTGTGAGGATATGGGGTGGAGTGATGGTGGTGGCTGTGGTGCAATAGGTTGAGAACGAGAATAGAGATGGAGGCAAATGGGAGGCTGAAGAGAAACCTAGGGCTCGGATGAAATAAGGTTAGAAGAAATAAATGGAAAATTAAAAAAATAAAAAAGTGAAATAATGTTAAAGCGCCAATTTTTTCCGCATTAAATTTCACATTTATCGGCGCTCTTTTGTAAAGCGCTGGTACTATTAGCCCTATACCAGCGCTCCTAGTAAGAGCGCTGGTGTACGATTGCACCTATACCAGCGCTCCTTCAGAAGCACTGGTACGATTGCACCTACACCAGCGCTCTTTAAAAGAGCACTAGTATGATTGCACCTACACCAGCGCTCTTTAAAAAAGCGCTGTTAAAACCCTAATATAGTGTAGTACACCATTATTTTTCAGGTATTCGTCAGGTGTAGAGATTATTTGTGCTGAGCAGAGATCAGTTTACTTCACTCTTCTGATTCTACATAGGAGATTTATTTATGTATCAGTATTAAGGTGTAGACAGCTATTGCTATTACTTGTTCAGTTTGGATTTTCTAGGGGTCCATATAATATGGATTCCCAAGTTGTATTATTTGGAGAATTGGTTGTATAAAAAGAATTTATTAATTAATGAAAATTTGTTTTGAGGATTTTAAATATTTGATTATCATTTTAGTTTTCATTTTAGCGTTTTATCTATTCTTCTTTATCTTTTTGTATTCTGTGTTCATTTATTGCCAGTTTGTTTTTTATATCCCTAGGTATTCGGGCGTGGGCCGACCAACCCATATTAGGAAATTCAGGGATATCACACCACCCGATTCGGCAGGTGTGATACCCCCGGATTTCCGGATGCGGGTTGGCCAGGCTCATGCCCGATTACCCGATGATATCAAACTAATTTGCAATAATCGAACACATAATACAAATAAGAAAACAGGAATAAATAAATTGCTAAAAAGAAACTAGAATAATAATCCAAAAACCTCAGAATAAAATTTTATTAACAAAGAATAATTCTGATACATCCTACTTCTCCATTTCTATTACAACTCGGGATTCCATCTAGTGGACCCCTAAAATATCTCATTGAACTCAAAAGATTGGAAATGAAACCCAAGTCTAAAATATGAAATAAAATCCTGGTCATCGGTGGAGTGAAGACTGTATCTGCTCAGCACGATCCAGCTCTAAGTCTGGAACTAACGAACACCTGTAAAAATAAGAGTGGGTCAGGCCCACATGCAAATTCTTCTCTAACTACAATCCAAACAGTGACTCGATACGCAGATACACCCTAAATATCTCACCAATTGCTATCTAGTCCATACATATAGATATATCCACACTAAGGGACATTCACTGGTCTACAATAGGGGTCTCAACCTGAATAGAAGGCAACATGCGAAAACGCACCCAAAGGTGGGCATGAGTACCGAGACCTAACAGGGTACACCTCAACCTACTATAGCCAACTACGCATCCACTGCATATACGCACCCTAACCAACGAGTCTGAGACTCAAGCTTATCTCGTGGTACCATAAACATATATTTAAAATCCATTCATATCCATCCATAGGAAATCCAATAAGTCGTTCAGCTTATTCAGCTGCACAGACCTAAATATAAGGAGAATTATGTTTTTATAATTCGAACCCTTAATCCAAAATAAGTAGGATTGAGTTATTTTGAATCAGTCTGTCCCTAGTATGCCACCGTCCATACCGGTGCATACAATTCACAAAATTCATATAATTGATTGAATAGGTAAAACTGTTCACCAATTAAAATCCATAAGGTAGGAATGAGCGTTTTGAGCTAAATCATACATAGTATGTCACCGTCCCATACCGGTGCATACAATCCTCCATATCCATGTAAATTACAACATATAAATAATAAGTAAGTAATTTACAGTCCAAAACTAATTATCTATATCATTGCAGAATAGTTTATACAATGCCACAACAATTACAGTTCAAAACCATAATCCAATTAACTGTAGAATAATATATAAGATTCCACAATTAACATCCAACCCGTGTAAATTACAACACACAATTAACAGTTTAGCAATTTACAATCCAGAACCATCCCAAATACTTGCAGGAGACTATTTATAGTTTCAATAATTTAAATCCAAGAGTTAAACCATGTATTTGCAGGAAACGGTTTAAAGGTTCAACAACTAACATCCAAAGCATGCGTAGATCACATCTAATATATCAATGACTCTATCATGCATTACAATTAAGTTTTATAATCATATTATAGTCCAATCAATTCCTAAACTAATCTAGGCAATTTAGTTCCTTTTGTCCGATAACAGCGTACTAAGTTGTATACTCGTATTCTATTTCATCTTTTAGCACAGAGCCATACACTATGCCACAAGTCCAATTGGTTAATTAAAATACTTCACCGTGCATATAAAATAAGTTTTAATAACTTACTAAATCCCATAACAATTGCTGAAATTTAATTAAGCAATTTATTTCTCTTCCATCCGTTAACAGCGTAGAAAATTCCTTAATTTTATACTGTTTGTCCCATTGACTTAGAGGTTAACATTAATCAACTTAAGGTCTTAATTACACCCAAAATAAATTTCTTAATACCTCTATGTAGACCCAGACCCATCCAAACAGTTCCCATGCTCCAACAGTTGCAAACAGATCGTAAAAAAAAAAAAAATAAAATAAAATAAAATAAAATAAAATAAAAAAAAAAATAAAAAATTAGAAAACCACTATTTGAAAGAACCTGCTCTAAATTCCAAGAGCAGGCTCTTTTTGAGCCTGGAGCCGGCTCTATAGAATTTAGAGCCGGCTCAATGAGTATGGGAGCTGGCTCCCACATCCATGGAGCCAGCTCTCACCTCCTTTGAGAGCCTCTGTCCCCGTTCTGCTCCGTTATGACTTTCTGCTTCTTTTCCGGCATGTTTCTGCCCTTCAGTTGGTTTCAAAAACTGATCCTATGGGTCTGATTAATATCCACTAGCATCCCAAAGGTTTGATTTTAACCATTTAAATCAATTACATAGATCAAATTTGCTACCGAACTAGACATGCTTTAGGGACAACACTGAAACTATTTTGCAACCACAGCTCCATTCCAACCCCTCTGTTCCTCAATAATACTGAACCTAAGGTCTTTTATCACCCCATTAACATCCCCATGGTTCGTTTATAGAAGACAGAAGCAAGTACAGTAACAAACATTACAACAAAACTTAATATGCTTTTAAGAACAAAACTGGGAGCAACCATACATGAACTGTAAACAGATTTGAATTTACGGCAAACAAATCATTCATATAACACATATTAAACATATAACTTCCAGTTATTGATTGATTAAACCCTAGAGATCATCTAGGTGCACAGAACACGAGCCAAAGAGAAGGAAAAAGAGAAGAACTTGCCTATGATTTCAGTTATGAAATCCCAGCGTTGTCTCTAAGTTTCCGGCAACTACTAACTTCCTTCAAGCCTCTTATGGGTGTGATCTATTCCACCAGAACCCTCCTTTGACCCTCTCTGTTCTTATCCTTGGTAGCTCTTACAATTGCCTCTGTTCTCTCAGCTCTCTCTCTGTTACGTTCTATTTTTACTGTGCCGTGAATAAGGTTCTTCCAAAACCCTTAGTGAAACTCATACACGTATATATATAGGCCTTTAGAAAAACCCTAATTAAACTATATATTTATAGGCCTTTAGAAAACCCTAATTAAACTAGAGCTAAGGCAGAACCCTAATTAAACTGGAGTCGGCCCATAAACTTAAGTCATATACACGTTAAATACTTGTATGACGGCTCCAAGAAACCCTAACTGAAAACTGTTAATTCTACTTCTACTTAAGCACTTATTAAAAACAATTAAATAATTAACCAAATAATGCATTTAAAATACAATTTAAAATAAAACAAACAATACAATAACTCAGATAACTAAACAAACCATAATTCAAATAAAGAAAATAATTAACCAAATAAGGAAATACAAATACACAAGTACCAATTTACAAATAATTAAATAAAACAAACAAAATACAACAATTACAAAATCAATAGACAAAAATGCACATAGAATGAAATTTAAATCTCAATTTTATCCTTTTTAATTTTAGGGGTATTACAGCAGGCATATCCAAGGATTTTGTTGATGGAAACAACGACGATGAGGGATTTAGGGGCAGAGAGGGCTAGAGATTTGGATGTGGAGTTGATATAAATCTTTCCATAAAAGAAATTAACTTCAGAGCAAGAGACTTACTTCTTAGCAACGAAAACTATGTGTTCCAACTGGATTTCATCAATCTTAAGAAATTCTTCAATCGGATCTGATGAAAGCTCAATCTTGGCAAAATTTGGGTTTAAGGGAGAGGCCCTGGGTTTGGTGGTGGGTTTGAGAGGTGATGACTGTCCGTTTGTTATGGGTTTGAGAAGCGATGTTTTGTTTGCCATAGGTTTTCTAGTTTGTTCATATGCTGGGTTTTCTGTGATGGTGGTGGTTGTCTGGGTTTAGTATGTACAGAAGTGAGGGGTGATATACTAAGGGCAAAAATGTCATTTAAAATTTATTGTATTTTATAGTTTAAATATATATATTTTTGATAAGTTATATTTTATAGTTTAAATTAATAAAATTGTTGAAGGAATATTGACTTTTCATAATTTTAAGGGGTTGTTTGGAATCATTTTTTGATAAGGGGTGCATTTGTTAAAAAAAGATTCAACTTGTATATGGTTGTCCTTATGACAAACCTCAAGGGGTGTCGGTGTTCAAAAAAGATTTAACTTGTATATATTGTCCTTATGACAAACCTTAAGGGGGTGTCGGTGTACTTTACCTTTATACAAAGTGCAAAAACTATATCCCTCCATTTGCTTTCTTTTCTCCTCCTTCCATTTCTTTCCAAACAAAATGGGCCTTACGACTAAGTGCATGGTTCAATCCTATATTTGTATGATATAATTGGACCCACATATATTCAGACCTCACGACCCTTCTCTTATGATCCATCAAACGTGCATATTCCAAGCCTAATCATCCAAACCCAACCAACTTACGGAGTATGAATTATTCGGCGTTCTTAAATACTTCAAAATCCATCTAATATCTAATTATTTGAAAATTCTAAAAAATTTCTACTAGCAATTAGTTTTTTTTTATTATCAAAATAATTAATCTAATTTTCAAATGGATAAAATTTTATTCAAATTATTTCAATAAGAAATCACAATATTTTATGAATTTTTTTAATAGAATTTAAAATTTTTGTATATTAAAAGTGATTGTCCTAAATCTACAAAATATTTTTGGAATTAAGCTTTAATTAAATCAATTTTCATTGAAATTTACATCATAATATTTATTAATTAAGTAAAACATAAATGAACGTGGTTTTTCTTTATTTACCGAAAAAAAAAAAATGAACGTAGGAAAAAAATAAAGGATTCTATATCAATTTTAGAATAGAAACTACAATGGCAAAACTTTAATTCTATTTAGTAATAGTGTATGTGAAAAAATGGGAGGTTAAAGGATTTCAAATGTAGAATTATTGATCCTATAATAATAATAATAATAATAATGATGGACTTATTAGTCTTTTATAAATAAAAAAAATAAATAAGACTTCGGAGTAATTTTTTCTATTTTCTATTCCAAGCATAGAAATTCTCTCCTCAAATAATGTAAAACTATACATTAAACACACGTATTTGGAAAGAAATAAAAATCTAATTGATTTCATTTGTGCTGAGTGAAAACTGATTAGGAAACAACCAGTTAAAGCGCGTTTAATATATATATACACACGCGCATATATATATTCTTGATCCTAATCATTCCAGTCAGTATTATTAGTGTTGGATCATGGAACAGAATTAGGAAACTAAAGTTAGTATGATATTTGCGGCAGAGGGCGTGTGTATATATATATATATATACATATAGACATATGTTTATTCTTCGTTCTTAAGTCTTAAGCCTAAATCTCTCACATACCGTTCTCTTTCTCTTTCATCACCCAAACCCAATTCCTATTTTCCAAGTCTCTTTCTTTAATCTTGTTTCTTCTTCAAACAATGGCGAAACAGTTCTTTATGGCTCCTAGTAGTCTATTCGATTTCTCTCCGACCACAAACATAACATCATCACTAGTTGTAGGCTTCAAAGATGAAGAAAAAAGGGCGAAACAATTCTTTAAAGCAGATAGTCTTTTTTCTCCGGTGAAAATCACAGCATCATCACTAGTTGAAAACTCCAAAGATCAAGAAAATAGTGCGAAGCGGTTCGCTCTTAGTCTTTTCACTCCGGCGAAAAACACAGCAGTTGGAGACTCGAAAGATGAAGAAAACAGTGGGGTTTCATTGGAAAAGATGAAAGTATTAATGGAGTCCACTAGTTGCATCCCACAACCAAGAACCATGGAAGGACGTTGCATAACAAGAAAACCTGCAGAAAAGGTTTCAAAACCATCTTCCATTATTATCATCAAGAAAAGGAAGATGATGGGTGATAATAACCCATGTTGCTCTCTGGCTCCCAAACCCAAACAACAGAAGATTGTTTATACCAGTGAAGGAGAAGAAGAAGATGAGACAAAATTGAGGCTGTATGAAGAACCTTGGAAAATCAAGAAGATACTAACAAAAAGTGATGTGAATACTTCATGTAGGCTCTTGTTATCTCAAGAATCAATCCACAAACATATAATCCCTCTGTTCAGCGCTAAACAAGCCACAGATTGTGGGACTGTAAATGGCACAAAGCTTAAGGTTTTTGACTTCGACACAAGGACTGAACATGAGTTGACGCTCAAGAGATGGAAGACAGACAGCTATGTGCTTACCAGTAGCTGGATCAAAGAGTTCAAAAACAGGAGGAAGTTGCAGATGGGTGATGAGGTTGGCCTTTTCTGGAATCCATACCTTTCAAGACTCTATTTTTCCCTTCTCAAAAAGGCAGCTGCCTAGTCATATGTGAATGCTTCATTGTAACATGCATGACTTTAAATGTATCATGGCTTGAATGGTTTTATTATATGTTAAATGAATATGATTAATAATATATCAGTCTTGAAAAGCTAGTATTCCACATCATTTCGTATATTTTGCCTTCTTCAAATAAAACCAAGCACTTAATAATATACTAATGGAGATATGTTGTTTTAGATCATTTTAGAAGCAACAACAAAGTCCATTATTTTGCTAAACTTCTCTAAAACACACTGTCGATGTACAAATGTGGACAAAATTCTGTTTTGGGCAATTGCCGTATCTAGAATGAATAGAAAATGGCATATTCTTGCCTTTTTCGTGCTTGAAATCTATGGATTTCAAAGCCTTGAAATCTCCAATAAAGCTAGCATTCTAAGGCATATATGGAGAAATCATGATGGATCGAACCAGAGCATATGGGCTGTTTGGAGTAGAACATACCTTGTTAAGGCTAGAAGCTTATGGGACATCAAAGCTCCAAAGCAGTCATCTTGGTGTTGGAAGAAATTGCTCCAGCCACTTTGCCAGGCATCAAACAATGTCTCGGCACATTTGATCGAAAGGCTGTCTCTTACCTCCATGGCCAAATGCATTCCCATTAATATGCGTATCAGAACCAGAGAGCCACTGACACTTGCTCTTTGAGTGGCAATTCACATCCCCAATCTCGCAAAATCTCCAATCGAAATGTGGATTCTTCATTTGCCCTGCATACTGGTCATCACTAAATCAAATGGAGCTCCCATTATTGGAAGGAAAAAGGCATCAGAAACAGAGTCTGCAAACTAACCTTGTCTTTATGTGTTTATCAACTATGGATGGAAAGGAATTCAAGGGTTTCCAGAGAGCTGGTTCTTCAACCCACAACTATTGGCCCTCTTATTGGCCCAATAGCACTAGATTGGGATCTTCCACCTTCAAACATTCTATCTCCTTCTGAATATAGCACATTGGGGTGCTGAGCTTGGGCTACATTTTTGTTTTCATTTCATTGTCACTTTGTCTACTAATCCCATCCCTTCAAATCATCTCATCAAACTAAAGAGCTCCCAATGCATCTTTTGGAAGACCATTCAATGCATATCCTGAAATTATGCAATTCCAAGAAACCAAATTCCATTAAGGCATTTCATCAAAACACAGCGGGCTGATTTCAAATACCCAACTTTGGAGTACATGTATATCATCAGTACTGAATCCGCAACAATGACAATGTGATCAAACCCGGAATTTATTATCTGGGTATGGACTATTTTGCCTCAAGTGAGAGCAGCACTGGCCTTAAGCACATAGGAATAATTGTGAAATGATCAGGTTTTGCGTTGGAAAGCTGAAGATCTAAGTATTTTGCGATGAAGTCCAATGCTGGACAGTTGTTTAAGCTTGTCATTTATAGTAAATAAATACGTGTTTCAAAAATAATTGTGAATAAGGATTAAGTTAAAGAGAATTGCCCTGTATGAATGCTTGATTAGTCTGGACAGGTTGTTGTGTTTAAATATCCAAGAATACTTTGTTTGCTCTAATCAAACATTAGCTCTTTCAATGGTCAGATTAATTTTTCCTTCAAAGATTCAAGTCAGATCGACAAATTCTCAATAGAAGAAAACTCTAGTCGGATTAACAAATTCTCAACAGAAGAATTGACATGTTTGCATATCTTCCTTCTTTTTTCTTTTTTCTTTTCTGAAAATCGAATTCAATTTTGTGAATGACTGTCCTTGCAAATTCTGAGTTTTTGCTGGGTCAATTTCTAAGTGGTTAAGACAGGGAGAAGATAAATGCACTCCCTTACTAATTAATTACATTTCTTTTCTTTTTTTTTTTTTTTTTTTTTTTTTTTTTAACTTAGATAACAAACTTAAGATAATTAAATATATGATGTAATAGTACACAAACTCTTAAGTATCTATAAATTCAAAGTTCTTTTTATTTTTATTTTTTATGACAAATTAGAGAGAGGAGGTTGAAGAACAGACTAACTATACCAATTAAACCACTTAATAATGTCCATATTGTGTATACCATTTAGTTATCTCGTACTAACATTTTGGTCACTGAGTCCAAACTTGTATGTATAACAAACTTAAGATAATTAAATATATGATGTAATAGTACACAAACTCTTAAATATCTATAAATTCAAAGTTCTTTTTATTTTTATTTTTTATGACAAATTAGAGAGAGGAGGTTGAAGAACAGACTAACAATATCAATTAAACCACTTAATAATGTCCATATTGTGTATATCATTTAGTTATCCCGTACTAACATTTTGGTCACGGAGTCCAAACTTATATGTAGACAAAGTGGAATATATATATATATATTTTTTTAAATTCAAGTAAAATATATGTATTTTTTTGATATCTCAAATCTATGAAAAAGGTTATATCTTCACTTGTATATTTCATAACACAAGTTGCCTTTTATTTGTTTGCAAGTAAAGTATTTTTGCCAGAAAAAATATATAGGTTTGGCTTGTTTTGCTTATCCCTTTTCAAAAAACTCAATTGATCATTTTTTAGTTATTTAACAATTTCTTGTCAAATAATTATTAATATTCGAATATAAATAATTAGACTAAATGGATAGATAAGATAGAGATTGGATAATTAATGACAAAAGATATTTTTCAGTAAAAAATGCTGTGATCATTGATTTCTAAACTTATATATCTAGAAAAAATAATAAAAAATAAAAATTGATATGTCAAATTTATGAAAAAGTTATATCACGTAGCATATTTCATCTAAGAAGTTACTTTTTGCGCTAAGCACCAGTGAGTTCTAAACTTATATCTAAACAAAAAGGGCAAAAAAAAAATTCATATCTCAAATTTATGAAAAAGTTCACTGGTATATTTCGTATCAGAAGTTTTTTTTTGTTTTTTATTTGGTTAAAATCGTATCAGAAGTTACTTTTTGTACTAAATACAAATACAACGACACATTTAATTGATGGGTTGGGCTGGATTGTTCAAGGACCTTGCCGGCCTGTTTTGAACCACAGAGCGATGGCACAAGTATTTTCTTAAAAAAAAATTTACCACAATTATTTATTATTTATTTTATTTTTACACAAAAGAATATAAGTTCTATAACTAATAAAGTCCTCCGTTTGAAAGCTTTTTTCATTTATTTTCTAAAACATTGAACTTTCCATTTATAGTCCTAACAAATTAGATTTAAATTTTGTAATTATAATTTCTATCCAAAATTTGTTATGTAAGCTAAAATTTTCTATTTGACTATTTTAACATGCCTAAATTTTATGTATCAATAATTTTTTCCGATTTACTTAGAGGCAAAAAGTAATTTTTTATTTTTTTTTCAAAGGCAAGAATGTTAATGATTAGAAAGGAGGGGAAGGATGCACACAGACTCCCGGATCCAGGAGCAATAACCCAACCACTTGGATAATATGGTATTTGCAAGAAAAAAAAAATGTATTGGCAATTGGATTTTTTTTTTAATCAAAATTCATTTTTTTTTTTCTCTCTCTTTCAAAAGGACAAAATGTTATTCAAGTTGTTTGAATAAAAAGGAATTATAATATTTTATGAATTATTTTAACAGAATTTGAAATTTTCTCTATTAAAAATGATTGTCAAAAAATCCACAAAATACCTTTTGAATTGACCTTTAATTAAATTAATTATAATTATAATTTTTAATATAATATATTTTTTATCCCTGAATTACTATCTATTAATTAACTAATAAACATAAACATAAACAAAAGAGCATTCTATATCAATGTTACAATTGAAACTATAATGGCAAAACTTTACTTTTATTTGGTAAGAGTACAAACGAAAAATTGAGTACGTAGTTTAAAATTTAGTATTTGTTGTCCTAAGAAAAAATTATAGGACTTATGTGTCTTTTAAAAGAAAAGTAAGGATTCGCGGTAAATTTTCTTATTTTCTAGCTATTACATGCATAGAAAATTTCTCCTCAAGTCACGTAAAACTATAACATTAATATACATAATTGGAAAGAAATAAAAACTTAAACATCAAACTGAATTAGGAACCCCAAGCGAGAGGATTTCAGTGCTGGAGTACAAGACTGATTTAGGAAACAAGCAGGAAAATACATATTCTTCAGTTTGATTAGTGTTGGATCGTAGAACTGATTTAGGAATCCTAAAGAAAGTATGATCTTTGCGCTAGAGGGCGTGTGTGTGTATATATATATATAACCATATGCACGTCTATGTATTCTGCGTTCCTCTGATCATTCCAAGAAGGCAGTTCTAATTAATCCCTCACATACCATCCCTATTATCTTTCATCACCCAAACCCTAGTAATATTTTTCAAGTCACTTTCGTTATTCTTGTTTCTAGTTCAAACAATTAATGGCAGAACAGTTTTTTGTTGCTCGTGGTCTTTTCTTTTCGTCCAGAAACATACCATCCTCATCACTGGCGGCAGACTTGGAAGATGAAGAAAATAGGGCAACACAGTTCTCTGTTGAACGTAGTTTTTTTTCTCGGGCCAAAAGCACAGCATCATCAGAGTTCTTTAATTTCGATAATCTTTTCTCTCCTGTAAAAAAGACAGAATCATCAGTAGTTGCAGAGTCGAAAAATGAAGAAAATGGTGGGGTTTCATTGGAACTATCGTTGCGGCTTCATGTTGATCCTAAGATGAAAGCACTGGAATCCAGTACTAGTAGTTTCATGATCCCACAACCAAGAAACATACAAGCTAGCATAGCAAGAAAACCTGAAAAGGTTTCAACCAAATTGAAACCATCTTCTATTGTTACTTTCAAGAAAATGAAGATGATGGGTGATAAACCACCAAGTTGCTCTTTGGCTACTAAAGCCAAAGAACAGAAGATTGTTTGTACCCGTGAAGAAGAAGAAGAGACGACAAGATTGAGGTTATATAATGACAGGTGGAAAATCAAGAAGATATTGACAAAAAGTGACGTGAATGGTTTATGTAGGCTCCTGATACCAAAAGAATTAATGAACAAACAGGTAATCCCTCTTTTCAACCCTCAACAAGTTAGTGATTGTGGGAGTGGGATAGGCATAAGGGTTAAGGTTTTCGATTTTGACACAAGGACTGAGCATGAGTTGACTCTCAAGACATGGAAGACAGATAGCTATTTGCTAACCAGTAACTGGAACAAAGAGTTCACCAACAGGAGGAACTTGGAGATGGGTGATGAGATTGGCCTTTTCTGGAATTCACAAACTTCACAACTTTATTTTAGCCTTCTCAAAAAGGCTAATAGCTAGCCATATCTGAATGTTTGAATGAAACGTGACTTAGGTTGTAAGTTTGGAAACATTTAGTTATTTGAATGGTTTTTATGTGGTCAATTTTATTTGCTATTAAATGTGTAATGTGGTTTGAATGATTTTATTATATATATGTTTTATGAATACAATTGATAGCATATCAGTTTTGAAAAGTTTTTATTGGTATGTTAAAGCATGGTTATTAATTATTATAGAAAATTCCTAATTATATAAAAAATAATTGAATCTGGATATCTAATACAAAAGACAACTGATTATTAAACCTAAAAAGGGTAGACTAACGAGTAGATTCCATTTACTTGTCATACTTGAGAACACAGGGCCTCTAGTCTATGGGAAAAGTTTTAACCTAGCTAATTGATGTGCCTATAAGCTAGTCTCCCAGTTTCACATTCAATTGAAACTTTAGCTATGTATAAAAAAGTATTAGTGTTTTCATCTCTTTTCAATATGAGTTCTTGGTATGTTTGGGTAGATTGATGTATTTAAATTTCGAAAAATACTACAGTAGCAAGCTTTTCTCTCTTTTTTATTTTTTCTTTTTTAATGAAACACTAATATATCCTATAAATTTTTTATAGGACCAATAGGTATTACTTTTGAAATCTTCTCCATTTAAATTCTAAATCACTTAACTTTTCACTTATGCCCTTAATAAATTAGATTTATAATTTAGCAATTATAATTTCTTTTCTATTTGACTATTTAAACATGTCTAAAATTTTTCTATTGCCAAGTGGATTTTTTTGTTTCATTTTATCGAAATTAGTCTATTTTTCAAAAGGATAAAATTTTATTCAAATTATTTCAATAAAAAGAAGTTATAAACATTATGAAATTGAACCCAAAGGTTGACTCAAGTGAATAAAAACTTGGTCATGGTGTCTTATAAAGCATTGAGTTTACGATTCCAATTCTCTTGGATGAAAATAATTTTTTGACGGGGGTGTGTGAATACCAATTAGGAAAAAAAAATTCAATAAAAAATATTAGAGTAAAGTACAACAACACCCCGTGAGGTTTGTTAAAAGCACACCCAGATGAAAGTTTGTCAATTTTGGGACAATGACACCCCCTCAAGTTTGATATAGATACCAAAGACACCCCAATGGTAATAAATTGACATTTTTACCCTTTGACTTTTATATTAACCAATTTAAATATTGAAATGACCTTTCTACCCTCGTACCAAAAACCATTTCTTTCCCGTCTCTATTCTCTCTCTTCCTCTTAGGGATGGCAACGGGGTGGGTTTGGAGCGGGTTTTTCTAAATCCCGCCCCGTCCCTTTTAATTTTTATCAAGTCCATGCCTGCCCCGAGACCCGCGACGGGTTGGATTTTCATATCCAACCCCGCCCCGTTAGGAAATACTGTGCCCCCGTGCCCGCCCACTAACAAATTTTTTTCTCCCACTTTTTGGAACTTAAACTCCTGCTATTTAAATGTGCAAAGCCTAGAAATGACACAACATAAATAAAATTATGTATCCTAATAAATAAATAAAAAATAACATGCACATAACATAATTCAGAGAACATAATAAACAAAAATAAAAGTTTAATACAACCAAATCACAAGAAGTTCTAAGCTCCAACTTCCACCATATCCAAAACAAAAGCAAATTTAATACCAAGTTTATATCCCAAATTAGGATTATAAGAGATGGGTAATTGGGTAAGCCGCTAAAATAACTTATTAATATATATATATATATATATATATATATATATATATATAGTTATATACAGGGCGGGGCCCCTAAGATATGTATATTGAACCCTTACCCGCCCCGCGACCCTCGACGGGTACAAAATTTGTATCCATGTCCGCCCCAACGGTATAACAAGTGTTCCCATATCCATTATTAACGGGGTGGGACGGGACGGGACCCCTACGGGGCGGTAAAAATTGACATCCCTACTTCCTCTGCCCCCTACACCAAAACACACACACTGTCACATACACACACACACATATACACACACACACACATACTGTCAAACATACTGTCACACACACACACATATATACACACCCACACACACACATATATATGTGTGTGTATATACAGATACATATATATATACACACACAAGGCGGCGACGGGCGGCGGCGATGGGCGGCGGCGGCGCACCGCCTTTCCTCCACCGTTGGCGTCATCGTCATCCTCCGGCTCTACAACGAGTGGCGCCAACTCTAGATCCGCGGCCTGCCTTTGTTGGGTTCATCAAAAACCAACTTTTTCTTCAATGTGATTCAAAATTTTCCCATTTTTAGCATAACCCAATTCCCTAAATCCAAGTTTGGCAGTGAATCAGAGATAATTCCCCAAATCCAAGTTTGGCAGTGAATCAGAGATGGGTTGTGCTCAATTTTATCCAAAATTTCTCATTTTTAGCGAAAACCCAGTAAACTGTTAATAGGGTTTCTTCTCACTCCTCAAATCTAGAGAGAGAGGATGATGATAATGAGGATGAAGGAGGAGAGGTTTGTGAGCATTTTCATGGCAGTGAGGACCCACTGATGCCATCACCACAGTTTGATTTTGGGTGGGATTTTTTTAATCCGTTTGATGGGGGTGAAAACAGAGGTGGTCAATGGGTTTAGTCAAAGCTCTGATGATGATCTGAGGGCTGTGATGGAGGCTGAGGGGATACCAGAGTTGGAGGAGGAGGATGAAGAAAGAGAAAATTCTGGAGAGAGGATGATGGTGATTTTGGTGTGGTGGTGGCGGCAGATCAGGTTGTGTAGGATTGATTGGGGCTGGGGGTAATTTTGTCATTTAAGTATTTTGATATTTTATAATTAAAATTAATAAAATAATGAAGGGTAAAATGTACTTTTCATATGTTTTAAGACTATGTTTGGATGACAAATTTCACAAGGGGGTGAGGTTATCCTAAAATAAGCAAACTTTCATCTAGGTGTCCTTTTAGCAAACCTCAGGGGGTGTCTCTGTACTTTACCCATTTTTAATTCTAATATATTAAAAATGATGATCATTAAATCTAAAATAGTTTTTGGAATTGATCAACTTTAAATGAATTAATTATAATTTAAATATATAATGTAATATTTATTAATTAAATAAAGCATAAGAAAACATAGAAACAAAAAATAAAAAACTAATGGGCTCTGGTCTAAATTGTTTAGGTTGTCGTGACCTTTTAGAGATGTTGAGTGTTATGATGGGGGTAAAAATATTTAGTGAGTTTGTATTTGTTCGAACTTCCAAAAAAAATAAAAAATAAATAAAAAGTATTCTATATAGTTTTAGAGTAGAAACTGTAATGGCAAAATTAAATGGTTTTTAAAACTTAAAATGCAAAAGGATTTCAAAAGTAGAATTATCGATCCTATAAGAAAAAATATAGGACTTATTTGTCTTTTACAAAAATATAATCCCTTTGTTCAGCGCTAAACAAGCAACAGAAAGTGGGACTGTAAATGGCGCAAAGCTTAAGGTTTTTGACTTCACACAAGGACTGAACATGAGTTGACACTCAAGAGATGGAAAGCGGACAACTGTTTGCTTACCAGTAGTTGGATCAAAGAGTAATGCACCATTATAGGATGGGGGAATTTTAAGAATGGATTAACCAAAAGAAGTTAAGTCCTACCTATTTGTATGTTCTAAAGACGGATTAACCAAAAGAAGTTAAGTCCTACCGGTTTCATGTCAGGCTACTGAATTGGTTAGATGACATGCTGGATATTTATTTTATACTTTTGATAGGATGGATTTTATATATGTATAGATATGTGCCATGATATGAGCTTGAGTCTCATGATTGATGGTTAGGAAGCGTATATTGCATTGGGGATGTATAATTAAACTAGACATAGTGGAATGTTATGTGCCCTGGTAGGTCTAGGTATTTATTCCAACTATATGTGCGTTTTGCATGTTGCCTACTATTAAAGTTGAGGTCGCCCTATGTCCAGTGGGAGCCCTTTTAGTGTGTGTGTGTATATATATATATATATATATATATATATATATATATGGATTATGTATCTATTATTGAGTTAACTAGAATGTATATGTATATCGGGTCTCTATTTGGAATGTAGTAGAATAAAACTTGTTTGTGGGCATGACCCACCACTACAACAGATCTGACTTTTACCAGCGTTGGTAATTCAATTACCAGCGCTTTACCAGCGCTTTTGAAAAAGCACTGGTAAAGCCTGCGTTGGTAGGGCTTTACCAACGCTTGTGAAGAAGCGCTGGCATAGGGTATTACTAGCGCTTTTTTAAAAAGCGCTGGTACAGGGGTCATTTTAATTTTATTTTAATTATTTTTTTTCCCCCTATGCCAGCGCTTCTTCAAAAAATGTTGGTACTGGAGTCATTTTAATTTTTTTTTAATTATTCTATTTTCCTCTATGCCAGCGCTTTTTCAAGAAGCGCTGGCACTGGGGTCATTTTAATTTTTTTTTTTTTAATTTTTTTTTTTCCCCCTATGCCAGCGCTTTTTCAAGATGCGCTGGTACTTGGGTCATTTTATTTTATTTTTTTATTATTTTATTTTCCCCTATGCCAACGCTTTTTCAAGAAACACTGGTATTGGGGTCATTTTAATTTTTTTTAATTATTTTCCTTTTCCCTGTGCCAACATTTTTTTAGGAAGCGCTGGTACAAGGGTCATTTTAATTTTTGTTTTATTATTTTATTTTCCCCTATGCCAACGCTGGTACTGGTGTTATTTTATTTTATTTTTTATTTTTTTTCCCCCTATGCCAGCGCTTTTTGAACAAGCGCTGGTAGAGCGATCATTTTAAATTTTTGTTTTTATTTTTTATTTTTGCAGTTACTAAATGTCATCCAATATAACACAAATCAATATAAAAATACCATCCAAATTGTTTTTACATAATACAACCACAAGTTAACCTGCTGCCAATATGAAAAATACCATTGAAATTGGCTACTAATTGATAAAGCTGGTAAATGTCAACCAAAAAGCCAAAATGTATACTAATACAACCACAAGTTAACCTGCCAATATGAAAATACCATCCAAATTGTCTAGATAAAGCTACTAAAATGTCACACAAAAAGAATTAAGAATTTTTGACAAATGTAGTACAAGTTTTTCAAAAAGGACCCATCCAAGGGGAAAGAAATTCAGAAAGCACAGTCACGACCCCATCTTCAGCTTCAACTTCAACAAGTCTTCTTGCCCATTTGATTTGAATTACCCTACATTTTTTATAAATTCATTAAGCGCACATTATAATAAATGAAAATTTAACATATAAGAGAAATTAAAAGTTCATAACCTTAATTGAATTGGCATCATGACTAGAAAATGGACTCAACATCTATATCTTCTATGCATCATAAACATCTATACCTATGCATCATTCCTCAATAGCAGATTCATTATAGTAGAGAGACATTTCCTTTGCTATGTTTTCAGTACTAGTTCACATAAGGAACCTAAAGAGTATTAAAGAATGTCAGCAACATTTAAAGTAGCAAAGGAAGCAATTGGAGACATTTTGAACCAACTAGTAGATCATTTATCCTGTGTGGGGAACTAAGCACTAGAAAAGGTAACAAAAATCAAGCTAGACTTACGAAAGAGTTTCAAAACATGGGCATAATGGAATGAAACAACATAATGATACAAGGATAATGAGGAAATGCAAGCATAAAGTACAACATAATGTGCTGACTATGGTCCAAGTTACTATAAACAATGATGTTCTACCACCCTGTACTTAAATATGAAGGGGTCATATGAATGAAAGTTACTAAGATTCCAAGTCTCTGTACATTTTAATTTGAATGTGTTCCCGTATATGATTTCTACCATTCGATGACTCTAAGGCCTGAAGACATCTAATACTGAGCTCTTGTTCCATATAGCAAGGTTACATTAGTTTTTGCTAGAGAATTTCTTTTTTTAATTACAAATTTCTAAATTCACATTGAACATGATATAGTTGTGTGTCACACAAAATTATACTACATGTTTCCTCACAACTGAGAAAACAAAGCTTGTAAAGTGATACAAGTATTCTCTGGGCAAGTCACCTCTCAAATCTGTTAAATCTTTAGTTCTGGTTAGTTTTACTAAGTCCGTTTTTCAACTTGTTTTGTTTTTTCAATCTCACTGCTCTACATTCAAAAGACCATTGCACTGGTATGAGTAAGAAATTAACACAAACAACAAACAACAAATAGAAAATACTTTTCCTCCACAACATAAATCAATCAACAAGAAGCCTCCACATACAATGATCCCATACTCTAATGCTTTTCAACAAATACAATAAAGTAAATTGCCTCCACACGGGCCGATCAGAAACAATGAAATTAAAATGCCTCCACACGGGCCGATGATTTAAAAATTGGTCACTTCAAGGCATGTGACCCCCTAATACACCGCAAAGAGTTTAAAAATTGGTCACTTCAGGGCACGTGACTCCCTTTTTGCAACATGGAATCATGAAAACTTACAATCATCTCCGAAGCAGCAACATCAGTAGCATTACCATCCTTATTTATATGTGTGCGAATGAATAAATCTGCGGAGGTGGTTGGGATGATTTTGAAGTTGAAGTTTCGGTATTTTGTTCACTCACTTTTTCGACTTCACTAACCGTTCGTTTCATTGTCAGCTTATTATTTATCATTCCTGGAAAAGCAAACAAAAAGGTAATCTATTAATAATCTATTAAGTTCATATATTTTGGCTTGGAAAGGGAAAAAAGGTAATGAAATTAAGCTAGCTAGGAATCGAAACAAAAATAGAAGAGGCAAATTATTGATGATGTCATTTGTGGAAAATGAAATAAAATTTGTAGCTGTTGAAATAGTTTACTCAGTTAACTGCCAAAAAAAAAGTTCAATATGATTTATATTACATGAACAGAAGGTGAGCAAATTAAATATCAATAGCTCCTATCTGTACAACATTAAGGAATAAGGATAATAAGATAGAGCCAAATCAAAAATTTAATGGAATATGTGTTTTAACTAAGAGTCATAACACTGGAGAAATAGAAAAACACATGAAAGACAGAATTAATGCATGTTGTCTCAATCAACAATCCTAACATGAAATAATTTTCCTGTGTACAAGAACAGTCACTACACTATCTTAATTACTATCTGGAATGCAAGGAAGGAAGACTTACAAATATATAGACAACAAACTTCCCTAGAGTAGAAAGTAGCTCCCACAAGCACCACAAGTTCACACTTCAAAATCCAACTCAAAGCCCCATTCTAGTTTGAAAACAAAAACATCAGAGAAACAAAAATTAAAAGGGGATCTAACTTGAAGTCCGGATGATTAAGTCGGTCAACTTCTCTTCCAGCTCAGATGGATCGATGGTCCTCCCATCATTCACCTGTGCACAAAATTAGGAATAACATAGTGTTGCTGCAAGAAAACGTGCAATTAGAGAGAAAAAATAAAAAAATAAAAAAATAATAAAAAAGGTGCAGCAAATAAATCAAAGGTCTAAAATTAGTCGCATTCAATTTAATGGTCTATCCTTCTTTCAAACAAATGATAGCAAAATACAGTACTAGTGTACCACATAAGCTACGAGATTCTTGAAACCTCTAAACACTATAAGAAAAATGCAGATCCCTTTGATCACTAATGGACTTGATCTAGTGTTCAAACCTTCCTAAGTAACCAATGACCTCAATTTGAAACCTTCACCTCCGAAGAAATTGTAACATGAAAGGGGGAAAAAATAAAATTACAACCAAAAAATCTGAAACTTGATAAGAAAATGCTTTTACATATAACAGCAACTGGCAACAGAAGAATCAAAATTTCATTATAAATGTCTCAAGCATATCAGCACAAGAAACAAAACATTTTATCACAATGCATAAGAAACATAACATTTTAATTTTCCACATGCACAATCAACTCTCAGTTGGCCATTAATTCTTCATCAAACTGCTAATTTACAGAAGCGCGGCTTTCTTCACCAGAATGTCGAATTTGGTTCAATTTGAGACGGCTATAGTTTTCTGCTGACAAAGAGAAAAATAAAGTGACTTTAATTTCTTCCTGAAAATTAAATGAACTACTCATTTTGTAGGTAATACAAGAACCACTCCCAAGCACAAAAAATAAGAAAATTTATGTTAAAAGAACTTGATAACTTCTGATTTAGAAATTATAACACCACAGTAGAGCATGGTTCTGAATAAAAACCCTTAATACATTGAAGGAATAAACATGATAAATTAACACAAAATGTTAAAAAGGATAATATTATATACACAATTATTGACTCAACTTTGAGAGGGTTTTGCAGAAATCCAAAGTTTTACAGATTCAAAATCAGAACAATTTTTTCCCAAATTTCCTGTGCATATCAAAACAATATATGTACATACACATATATATGATCCAAAGTTTTACTTCCTTTACAAATTCAGAATACAAAATTTGAAGCACATAAATAGTTTGAGGAACTCAAAATTCTCACCCCCACTAGTCTTTGACTGTGTTGCTGCAACTGGAAGAACCTTTTCCGTCATATTGGAAGGAAGTGGAAGCATATTCAAATTTGTCTGCGTCGGCAACATCCGATACTGCGGAGCATTCACTCTACAAACAGAACACACATACATCACAATCTGACTTGGGCAATTTTCTGTAACTTCCTTTACATCTCTCATCAATCAAAGGGGGGAGCGGCCTTAATCAAATTATAAGAAAATTACAGAAAAAAATAAAATATTAATCCAAACCTTCCAACAACCATACCTAGGGTTTTGATGTAACTATCGATGATCTGGTCCCTGGAAGTGTCGTCCTCCTCATGTTTTTCCATCACAACAAGCCAGTGATTAATTGATTTAGAAAAAAACAAAAAAACAAAAAAAAAAAAAAAAACAAAACCCATACATACAAGTTAGCAGTTGTAAAGAGAGAAGGGGGCAAGCTTGAGGGTTGAGAGACAGTGGCTGAAGCTTGCGAACAGCGAACCCGAACTGGAACAGCGGGCGATGAAAACTAAAAGATTTGGGTTTTGATTATGTAATAGGTTTTTAAAAAAGCACTGGTACGATTGCACCTATACCAATGCTCTTTAAAAGAGCGCTGGTAAAACCCTAATATGGTGTAGTGACCTTTCTTGCCCTTTTGAAAATATAGCATTTCTGGCATGAGCTTATTCTGTTTAGAACTTGTGGACTGAAAAGAATTTCAAAAAATTTAGCAATCTGTATAGCACAGAAATGATAGTGTTCAAGGGCATAAATTTTTAGCACCAGTGTGTGAGCCTTCAGGCTTTATGTATCTACCTTTTTATGTCAGTTTATAGTACGCTGTCTAAATATACATAAAATCCCTCTTTTGAGCTAATTATAAGATCTACGTGCTTTGAATAATGTAAAATTACAACTGAAAAAGAAAAAAGAAAACACACACACACACTATTAGAAATTTAGAACATCCAAGAAATTAGATATCTGACCAAGTGCTCCATCCAAGTGCAGTCACTCCCAAGGTGCCTATAACTTGCCAGTCTCTGCTCTCACTGTCTCACAGTGCCTAGAATTTGCATAAGAAATAACAATGGTTAACCTTACTCAAGAGAGGGCCTAAAAATTCAAGATAGTTTCTACCGAAAATCATACAATCTAGTAACATTCTAAAGAAATCAACGCTCTGTATGAACAATTTAGAATATTAGATTGCTCTGCACTTGAAAATTCAGAAGAAAAAGAAAAAAAGAAAAAACATGAATTTTTTCTAACTTAAGGTGCTAGGTTAAGTTCAACAAAAGAAGAGGAATTTTTTTTTTTTTCATTATTTGAAAAACCATTCATGTAAATAAAAGAGCCTATATATGTAATTAATATAGACTCCACTTATACAAATACCAGAAGGAAGGTTGTTCACAAAAAGAAAATGAAAAATGTCTCTATTCTTAAATTGTAAATAACCAACTCAAGGTATTCTTCTACTTACTATATCAACAAACCACGACCAATCACAGTTTCACAATTACAGTTCCATAGCCACAGTTCACAGCCTCATTGGAAATTTGAAATACAGACTATATATGCATATCAAAACAGAGTTTTCAAATTTTCAACACATACGATACATATGCGTCATCAAGGTTATAGCCTCCACAAAAATTTGAAACTCAAAACATAGAAATATATATCAAAACATAAAGCATGCTTCACAAAAATTTATTATGACAACACAGATAAATTTGGAACTTCAAATCTCCAAAGTTAGGGACACAGCCCTTGACAAAATTTTCAGAAATAATTTTCAAATACAGCCCATCATCACTAACCATCCTCCTTTTTCAACATCACAGAATATATATCAAAGTATTCTTAAAATCGCAGTCCCAATGATCAAATACAGGTTCACAGTGATTTCTCAATTTTTCCAGAGTCTTCATTATCACAGTTTTATGCTTCACAATATTTGTAACATGGCAAAACATATAAAATCTCACATAACTAAAATCCCAAATTCCCATTTCAAAATAAAATTCCAAAAATCTCCAAAACAGTTTAATTAAACCTTCTTTCAGAAATTTTCAAACATGAACTCATATATATATTTATATGAATGACAGGGGAAAGATGCTTACTCGAAAGATAGAGAGAAGAGCAAAGGAATGAAGAGAAAAATCCGAAAGAGAGACCAACCCGAGAACGATGAGATGACGGCCTGAGATTCGCCGGAGAAGATGACCGAAAATTGTAGCGGTGGATGGCAGCAAGATGAGAATGTTATCTCCTTGGCCGAAGGTCGGCCGGAGACGAAGCCGATGGAGAAGAGATGAGATCGAGAGCGAGAGGCCGAGGTTTGGCCAGAGATCTCGCCGAAATACCCATAGCAGAGAGCTCGAACAAAAAGAGAGGGGTTGGCTTCAGTGGTGGTGTGAGGATATGGGGTGGAGTGATGGTGGTGGCTGTGGTGCAAGGTGCAATAGGTTGAGAACGAGAATAGAGATGGAGGCGATTGGGGAGTTGCAGAGAGAAGGAGAGGGGGCAAGTTCAGAGTTGAGACCGAGAATAGAGATGGAGGCGAATGGGAGGCTGAAGAGAAACCTTAGGCTTGGATGAGATAAGGTTAGAAGAAATAAATGGAAAATAAAAAAAAATAAAAAAGTGAAATATTGTTAAAGCGCCAATTTTTCCCGCATTAAATTTCACACTTACCGGCGCTCTTTTGTAAAGAGCTGGTACTATTAGCCCTATACCAGCGCTCCTAGTAAGAGCGCTGGTGTACGATTGCACCTATACCAACGCTCCTTCAGAAGTGTCAGTACAATTGCACCTACACCAGCGCTCTTTTAAAGAGCGCTGGTACGATTGCACCTATACCAACGCTCTTTAAAAAAGCGCTGGTAAGACCCTAATATAGTGTAGTGCACCATTATTTTTCAGGTATTCGTCAGGTGTAGAGATTATTTGTGCTAAGCAGAGATCAGTTGACTTCACTCTTCTGATTCTACATAGGAGATTTATTTATGTATTAGTATTAAGGCGTAGACAGCTATTGCTATTACTTATTCAGTTTGGATTTTCTAGGAGTCCACATAATATGAATTCCCAAGTTGTATTATTTGGAGAATTAGTTGTATAAGAAGAATTTATTAATTAATGAAATTTGTTTTAAGGATTTTAAATATTTAATTATCATTTTAGTTTTCATTTTGGTGTTTTATCTATTCTTATTTAACTTTTTGTATTCTGTGTTCATTTATTGCCAGTTTGTTTTTTATATCCCTAGGTATTCGGGCGTGGGCCGACCAACCCATATTAGGAAATCCGGGGATATCACACTACCCGATTTGGCAGGCATATCCAAGGATTTTGTTGATGGAAACAACGACGATGAGGGATTTAGGGGCAGAAAGGGCTAGAGATTTGGATGTGGAGTTGATATAAATCTTTCCATAAAAGAAATTAACTTCAGAGCAAGAGACTTACTTCTTAGCAACGAAGACAATGTGTTCCAACTGGATTTCATCAATCTTAAGAAATTCTTCAATCGGATCTGATGAAAGCTCAATCTTGGCAAAATTTGGGTTTAAGGGAGAGGCCCTAGGTTTGGTGGTGGGTTTGAGAAGTGATGACTGTTCGTTTGTTATGGGTTTGAGAAGCGATGTTTCATTTGCCATAGGTTTTCTAGTTTGTTCATATGCTGGGTTTTCTGTGATGGTGGTGGTTGTCTGGGTTTAGTATGTACAGAAGTGAGGGGTGATATACTAAAGGCAAAAATGTCATTTAAAAGTTATTGTATTTTATAGTTTAAATATATATATTTTTGATAAGTTATATTTTATAGTTTAAATTAATAAAATTGTTGTAGGAATATTGACTTTTCATAATTTTAAGGGGTTGTTTGGAATCAATTTTTGATAAGGGGTGCATTTGTTAAAAAAAGATTCAACTTATATATGATTGTCCTTATGACAAACCTCAAGAGGTGTCGGTGCTCAAAAAAGATTTAACTCGTATATATTGTCCTTATGACAAACCTTACGGGGTGTCAGTGTACTTTACCTTTATACAAAGTGCAAAAGCTATATCCCTCCATTTTCTTTCTTTTCTTCTCCTTCCATTTCTTTCCAAACAAAATGGCCCTTACGGCTGAGTGCGTCTTCTTCCATAAATGGGAGTAGCATGGTTCAATCCTATATTTGTATGATATAATTGGACCCACATATATTCAGACCTCACGACCCATCTCTTATGATCCATCAAACGTGCATATTCCAAGCCCAATCATCCAAACCCAACCAACTCACGGAGTATGAATTATTCAGCATTCTTAAATAGTTCAAAATCCATCTAATATCTAATTATTTGAAAATTCTAAAAAATTTCTACTAGCAATTAGTTTTTTTTATTATCAAAATAATTAATCTAATTTTCAAATGGATAAAATTTTATTCAAATTATTTCAATAAGAAATCACAATATTTTATGAAATTTTTTAATAGAATTTAAAATTTTTGTATATTAAAAATGATTGTCCTAAATCTACAAAATATTTTTGGAATTAAGCTTTAATTAAATTAATTATCATTTAAATTTACATCATAATATTTATTAATTAAGTAAAACATAAATGAACGTGGTTTTTCTTTATTTACCGGAAAAAAATAAATGAACGTAGGAAAAAAAAAAAAAGGATTTATATCAATTTTAGAATAGAAACTACAACGGCAAAACTTTAATTCTATTTAGTAGTAGTGTATGTGAAAAATTGGGAGGTTAAAGGATTTCAAATGTAGAATTATTGATCCTATAATAATAATAATAATAATAATAATAATGGACTTATTAGTCTTTTATAAAAATAAAAATAAATAAGACTTCGGATTAATCTTTCCTATTTTCTATTCCAAGCATAGAAATTCTGTCCTCAAATAATGTAAAACTATACATTGAACACACGTATTTGGAAAGAAATAAAAATCTAATTGCTTTCATTTGTGCTGAGTGAAAACTCATTAGGAAACAACCAGTTAAAGCGCGTATAATGCATATATATATATATATATATATATACACACGCGCATATATATATTCTTGATCCTAATCATTCCAGTCAGTTTTATTAGTGTTGGATCATGGAACAGAATTAGGAAACTAAAGTTAGTATGATATCTGCGGCAGAGGGCGTGTGTATATATATATACATACAGACATAAGTTTATTCTTCGTTCTTAAGTCTTAAGCCTAAATCTCTCACATACCGTTCTCTTTCTCTTTCATCACCCAAACCCAATTACTATTTTCCAAGTCTCTTTCTTTAATCTTGTTTCTTCTTCAAACAATGGCGAAACAGTTCTTTATGGCTCCTAGTAGTCTATTCGATTTCTCTCCGACCACAAACATAACATCATCACTAGTTGTAGGCTTCAAAGATGATGAAAGAAGTGCGAAACAATTCTTTAAAGCAGATAGTCTTTTTTCTCCGGTGAAAAACACAGCATCATCACTAGTTGCAAACTCGAAAGATCAAGAAAATAGTGCGAATCGGTTCGCTCTTAGTCTTTTCTCTCCGGCGAAAAACACAGCAGTCGGAGACTCGAAAGATGAAGAAAACAGCGGGGTTTCATTGGAAAAGACGAAAGTATTAATGGAGTCCAGTAGTAGTACTAGTTGCATCCCACAACCAAGAACCATGGAAGGACGTTGCATAACAAGAAAACCTGAAGAAAAGGTTTCAAAACCATCTTCCACTATTATCATCAAGAAAAGGAAGATGATGGGTGATAATAACCCATGTTGCTCTCTGGCTCCCAAACCCAAACAACAGAAGATTGTTTATACCAATGAAGGAGAAGAAGAAGAAGAAGAGATCACAAGGTTGAGGCTGTATGAAGAACCCTGGAAAATCAAGAAGATGATGGGTAATGATAATAACCCATGTTGCTCTTTGGCTCCCAAACCCAAACAACAGAAGATTATTTATACCAGTGAAGGAGAAGAAGAAGAAGAAGAAGAGACAAAATTGAGGCTGTATGAAGAACCTTGGAAAATCAAGAAGATACTAACAAGAAGTGATGTGAATACTTCATGTAGGCTCTTGTTATCTCAAGAATCAACCCACGAACATATAATCCCTCTGTTCAGCGCTAAACAAGCCACAGATTGTGGGACTGTAAATGGCACAAAGCTTAAGGTTTTTGACTTCGACACAAGGACTGAACATGAGTTGACGCTCAAGAGATGGAAGACAGACAGCTATGTGCTTACCAGTAGCTGGATCAAAGAGTTCAAAAACAGGAGGAAGTTGCAGATGGGTGATGAGGTTGGCCTTTTCTGGAATCCATACCTTTCAAGACTCTATTTTTCCCTTCTCAAAAAGGCTGCCTAGTCATATGTGAATGCTTCATTGTAACATGCTTGACTTTAAATGTATCATGGCTTGAATGGTTTTATTATATGTTTAATGAATATGATTAATAATATGTCAGTCTTGAAAAGCTAGTATTCCACATCATTTTGTATATTTTGCCTTCTAAAAATAAAACCAAGCACTTAATAATATACTAATAGAGATATGTTGTTTTAGATCATTTTAGAAGCAACAACAAAGTCCATTATTTTGCTAAACTTCTCTAAAATACACTGTTGTTGTACAAATGTGGACAAAATTCTGTTTTGGGCAATTGCCGTATCTGGAATGAATAGAAAATGGCATATTCTTGCCTTTTTCTGCATGAAATCTATGGATTTCAAAGCCTTGAAATCTCCAATAAAGCTAGCATTCTAAGGCATATATGGAGAAATCATGATGGATCAAACCAGAGCGTATGGGCTGTTTGGTGTAGAACATACCTTGTTAAGGTATGTTTGGTTATGGGACATCAAAGCTCCAAAGCAGACATCTTGGTGTTGGAAGAAATTGCTCCAGCCACTTTGCCAGGCCTCTCTCTTATCAGAAAAAAGATTGAAGACGGCAGAGGGACATTCTTCTGGACTAACATCTGGTTTGGGACTCTTTCAACAATATTCCCAAACACAAAATTATCCCCTACCTCCATTGGCCAAATGCATTCCCATTAATATGCGTATCAGAACCAGAGAGCCACTGACACTTGCTTTTTGAGTGGCAATTCACATCCCCAATCTCGCAAAATCTCCAATCGAAATGTGGATTCTTCATTTGCCCTGCAAACTGGTCATCACTAAATCAAATGGAGCTCCCATTATTGGAAGGAAAAAGGCATCAGAAACAGAGTCTGCAAACTAACCTTATCTTTATGTGTGTATCAACTATGGATGGAAAGGAATTCAAGGGTTTCCAGAGAGCTGCTTCTTCAACCCACAACTATTGGCCCTCTTATTGGCCCAATAGCTCTAGATTGGGGATCTTCCACCTTCAAACATTCTATCTCCTTCTGAAAATAGCACATTGGGGGTGCTGAGCTTGGGCTACATTTTTGTTTTCATTTCATTGTCACTTTGTCTACTAATCCCATCCTTCCAAATCATCTCATCAAACTAAAGAGCTCCCAATGCATCTTTTGGAAGACCATTCAATGCATATCCTGAAATTATGCAATTCCAAGAAACCAAATTCCATTTAGGCATTTCATCAAAAACACCGCGGGCTGAT